ACAACCCCCGGCCCCTAAACCGAAGGAATGAGCAGAATGGATGCAGGGGGTTAGGTGCTTGATTAGGGGCTTAACCCCTCGAGGGGGTTAGGGGGTTAGGACGGTTTTTGGGGGGTTATCCATACGAAAAAGTCTCCCAGTTTGACTCGTGCTTATGTGCGTTCTGACCGTCAAATCCGGGGGCATCGTATGAGCTTGGGATCTCAGACATAAGTCGACATAAGGTTCACCTCACTTGGGCTCGGTTTGCGGGATGCACCGGCCGCGGGCGGTCGCTCAGCGTTGCGGGCAAGCGTGTGTCTATTAATGAGAGCTATTCCCACACAACCTGTGGTTGCCTGAGCCTTTGCACGATGCCGGTGACCTTAAATGGCGTATGCGCGCAAAAACAGACAATGCTACAACGCTTGTATGTTCCATCGTGTTCGGGCCCACTTCGAGCCGCACGGTCAGTGTCGCCCCGCTTAGGAGACGATGCTACGGTTCTTAGAGCGTCGATGCCATGTAGAAGACGATCGACGTCCGTGATCGGCTCCCTTGCGGGTCGCGATGACGGCGCCAGACTGTTGCAAAGGGGTTCGATCCTGAACGATTTGACCCAATCATATTATACATTCTGTGTGCGCACGCGGAGCGTATCTCAGTGCGGCACGTCTATGGCTATCGTCTACTTGATAAACACGTCCGCAACCTGACTGAAGGTGCTTACACCTCGCCAGCTTCACGACGGCAGCGGTCACACTGGCACGCACCACCAAGAGGTCCCTTGGCCCACTCTCGGCGCTCGTCAACGGGGAGTCGGATGTCGCAGTAGTGGTTGAGGACCTCTTCGCCCTTACGCAGCCCAGCCTCGAGGTTGATGCGCTCAGGGCGCGCGGTGAGGACGATACGACCGGCCCAGTCCCAAGACACATTGGGGTCGCAGTCATGGTTCGCGAGACACCAGTATGGGTGCACAGCGGCGACATCTGGTTTGCCATCGAGCGGGTTCTTACGCGCGCTCGCGGTGCCGCGGAACTTGGCGTAGAGCGTGTTGAGCACCCATGTGTCGTACTGCGGGTTGGCGAAGAAGTCAACGTCCATGGACTCGAGGATATGCAGCGGGGTCTCGAGGTTGTACTTGAATGACCACGGGAGCGCGGGCACTGTCGAGAAGTCGCCCCAGATGTACTTGACTTCGGGAACGCCGAGAGGGTGCAGTTGGCCATGGGCCGCGATGGCAAGAACACGCGCGAGAAGCAGCAGGTGCAAGCTCTCGTCCGCCTCCGATGGCTCGGGATCCTTGCCGATCTCATCCGTACCGGTGCCGCAGACGGCTGGATGGTAGCGTTCCTGCGCGGCATCGTGGCAGAACTCGCTGCAGAAGACGGTGTCGTAGCATTCGTCGCAGTTGACAACGCCGTCGAGGTCACGCGGAAGCTGCGTGCTACACGCGTCGCACACACTGTCCTTCATGCGATTGCTGGCGGTGAGCAAGCTATACTCCTCGAGCACCTTCTCGCCAGGCGCGATATCCTCGGTCGCGAACACGCCGAGCTGGGAGCAAGTTGCGCCCTCAACGGCAGCGCCGTCGACCAGGACAGGGAGAGTGGCGACCTGCACTGCGCACTTTGGTGCCATGGTCTTCAGCGTCTCATTCAGCTCGGCCAGCGACTCGGGCGCGAAGCGGTCCGGTTCATGAGCGTTCCAGGGGTACACTTCACGGCGGACCAGGGCTGTGTCGGGGAGCGAGCAGTCGGGGGAGAAGAGATCGCCGGGAATGCGGCCTAGGCGAGACTTGACAGCCGCCTCAAGCGCGTCGCGGGCAGCAATGAGGGCGGTGTTGTTGGGCGCAGTGTCGAGGCCTCGCTTGACGTACGTCGCGGCCGACTTCAGGCATCCAACATCGATTAAAGCGCGAGCGAGGAGAGTGTACGCCTGGACAGATCCGAGGTGATGGAGATCATCGCCGGCGGGGGGCGCCTCGACATCGGAGAGAGCTCGCGGGACCGTAGTGTAAACCTCGAGCGCTTCGAGAGCTTCGTCGTGAAACTCGAGACCCTCGGTGTTAGCCTCGTCGGAAAGGAGGAGGGCACGGTAAGCATCGCCCGCGGCGAGATCCGGGTAGCCTAGGAGAGAGTGCACCCTGCTGCGCTGGAGATAGGCAACAAGGTCATAGGGCGACTGCTCCAGGCGGTCGGTGATGGCCGCGCGCGCAGCGAGCAGCGCGGTGATGTTGTGGAGATCATCCTCGTCATCGGACAGGTTCAAGGTGGTCGGCTTGACATTGCTGGCTGCTGGACCACGGTAGAGCTTGCGCTGTACGTCATCGGCGTCGTTTGGTGGGGGCGGTGCCGGGACGTCGGCCAAAGTCATCGGACATGCGCCGGTGTGGTGGGTGGATGCTGTCGAGTTGGAAGATGGTTGGGTGGCAAAAAATCAAGTGGGAGAAAATTCGGGTCACGGGCCGGCGATCCCCGGCCCCGGCCCATGCGCATCCACCCTCGCAGTCATCTCGTCAGTGCCAGTGGCACATTAGCGTTCTTTCGGCTGATCGACACTTCGACGAGATTGCTTTCTCTGCATTGAACAATGAAGATATAGCGACCGGATGCGCCAAAGTCTCGGTCAATGAATGCACAAGTGCTGTGCATCGCATTCGGACGCCCACTACTCAGTACGGTAGAATTGGCTGGCGTATCAGAGCCCGAGATCTGGGTGGGAGTCCGCAGCACAGCAAACCCAGGGTTGTCGTTTCGAAAATCTTCGCAACGAGACCCGTGCCGGTCCGCGCACTCATCAACCGCTACCCATGGACGGCGCACATGGTCAAAGAGAGACGAAGTTGCGAAGCTGAGTAGAGCAGAACATAGCAGTAGAGCACGGCATGCTGAGTGACCTGCGGTGTTTTATATGCTGCGGCGCAAGTCGCCGCAGGATGGTGGGGGGTCGCGGATCGGCCACTGTACCGAGCTCAGGGCTGGACGAGCGGTCTGACGACAATCCGGGCATCGCGATGTGCAAGGCTATTATAAGCAACACACCGCCCTTCCCGCAACTGTGGACCTTGGGAATGCACGATGTCAACTGGAATCTCTGCACGGCTGCACCGTGGGGCCAACGATCGCAGACCACACGAGCATATGAATCTGCATACGGTGCCTACGTACGGATTGCAGAACACTACCACAAGACTGTATCGGCACGTCGGCAGTCGATCACGCCCGTCCAGGGTTCCCGACCACCTGATTGCATCCGAGCACATGTCCATCTTGTTGCCGCCGCCGCCGCAGATAAGCCATCGTCCGCACACTCATCACCGCAGTATCGCACAGAACGCCGCCAAGCACCCCGCTTTCAGGTGGGCGTGCGGCGTGGCAGTAGAAGTTGCTCAGGCGAACCAGCTATACGACCGCTGTCCACTATTGTCGCCGTGCGCGGACATAACATCGGGACACCACATCTTATGCAGCTGATGTGGGTTTGTGGTCCTCAAGGCGGAGCTCCCATGCCGCCCCAGGCGTTGTCATGGGAAACATGTTCGAAGCCCCCACTCTTAGGTGTTGAAGGCAGCACCAGTGGCCGGCTCCCCCACTGCCGGTGACGGCCGCTGTCTCACGTAGCGACTCAGTGCAGAGGAATATACTGAGCGGCACCAAGACGAATAAGTGGGGGAGATAACGCACAGCTACTTGGCTTGGCCCTTGGCTCAGTCAGGTGCCAGTCAGCCGTTCAGCATGCCCACTGATTGCTTCGTCACCCGAGGCGTCGCGAGGCTGCTGGAGCCTTCCTTGCCGGTACGCGCCGCCACCACACCAGGAATGTGGCAGCCGACTGCGGGCAGAAATCTCAACTAAACTCCTGCCGGCGCCCGACATCACGGCCCCCGAAGAGGTGTATCTTGGAGAAATTGTGATGCGATGCTGTTGCCGTTGGCCCGGACCGTTGCTTCAACATTTGCGCGCCGGTCATCGAAGGAGCAGAGTCAGTCCGAACACATCTGCCCGACGTTGTCAGTACGAGCACATCTCCCCGGAACCAAGTCTTGGCACCTCGATGCTCGCACTCAGACGTTGTTCAAGAGCACCTGCCGGCACCTCGTTGGATCTCTACTGCGGGCGAAAGTCCGATTGAGCAGCGACTTCGCTCGGGACGCTGCCAACGTGATGCGCCACCCCGTGTCGGAAATCGTCCACCTGACCGATGTCCCTGAGCCATCACATGTCCGCGGTGATCCTCGCGTGACTGCTCGTGCATTGTGCCTGCATCTGCGCAATCTGTGCTCTCTGTGCTGCATCGTCGGGGCCCGGGGGCCTCAGTTCGGGTACGAGTATTGATACATTGGGGCCCTCTATTGATGTCTAGAATGTCCAGTTGAATGCCTGCCTACACCTTATTCGCCATTGACTCATCGGTGCGAATGTCCTCCATGGGGTACGCCTCCGCGATGCGGGACCTGGAACGAGTGGGGGCCTCGTTCAGAGTCGACAGAGAGCTCTCGCTCTTGTTGCGCGTAAGAAACGACGGGAGCATCGGGGGGTGGTAGATGAAAACCATGGGAATGCCAACTGCGGGGTCAGTAAGGGAGAACTGGGGAATGCTGGAGTCGACTCACGGAGACCGCCACCGATCACTGAATGAATTAGCCTCTGCCTCTGCACGTTTTCACTCACTGTTGCCAATGAAACTGGGAATGATCGAGCGGCCAATATACTGGCCCACAGTGATGTCGGCACCGTTCATCATGCCCATCTGGATGTCAGAAAAAGTCGCACGCTGATTTGAAGGACGCACAGGGACAAAGTACATGTTAGCAGCGACGTGCTCCATGCCGAGGAACACGAAGAGACCGGCGGGGAGGTACATGGCGATGATCTTGGAGCCCATCTCACGCGAAGTGACCGCGAGCCAGACGCCCATGCAGACCAAAAAGTTGCAGCCAATGCCGCGGAGAACGACGACACCCCACGGGAGGTTGCACTTCTTCATGGCGAGCTTGACGGTGAAGGCGAGAAGAGCCTCGCCGGTGTAAAGCTCAGAGCACTGGGCAAGAAGCTCGGCGTAAACGAGGACACCAGTGAGGTTTCCAAAGAACACGATGAGCCAGTTGACAGGGACCTCCCATGCCTTGATGCGGCCGTTGATGGCAGCCATGGGGAGAGTCATGAGGTTGGCAGTGATCAGCTCCTGGCCAGTCACAAGGATCATGAGCAGAGGGATCGGGAAGAAGAGTGCGGCGAGCAGGTTCGTAATGGCGGGAGCCTTCTCCTCAATGACACCGCCGGTTCCGTGCATAACGTGCACGAGGTTGGCACCGAATCCGATCATGAATCCTCCCATCCATGCCTTGAAAAAAGTCAGGTGGTAAGACTGTCCGGCCTTCTTCGCGCCGACACCGATAAGCACTGTGAATGAGCGCAAGCAAGAGAACCACACGTACGAGAGGTGGTCTCGGGCGGAGTGTAGGGGTCCATCGAAGACATCGTGAGTCGTAGTCGTGTGTGTCGTGTCTCGAGGAAAAAGTCAAAGTTGAGTGCGGGGAAAGATGATCGACGATGCCAAAGTCGCTCAGTTAAGACTAGTTCGTGAGTTTCAGAGATCACTACGCGTCTGTGATGCCGGCGGTCGAGGCACGTAGTGCTGCAGAACTGCTGTGGCGGCTTGCCTGGCTATTCGGCCGAGAGACACCGCGGGGTCGTGTGCTCGGCGTATTAGAGACGAGATATCTGCGATGCCCCTCTGAGCGGGAATGGTGCTCCGCAATCGAGCCCACCCCGTGCGCGGTGTGCACGTGTCTGCATTGGTCAGTCCCAGGTTGAGGTGGGCTATTCTGGGTGCGAGAAGAGGGGCATCGTGGAGATGGGGGAGGCAGAAGTCGATGCAGCGAAACAGATCCACGGATCGATAAGACAAAGGTCGTCGAGAGATCAAGGAGGCGTTGGTTGAGGGATCAGTAATTTTGCAGGGCCCCGGACGGCGTTAGCACGGATCTTGGCACGTTGCTCGCTTATTCGCTTAAGCGCTTAAACCTCGCTCTCTCGTTTACCTCGCCAAGGACAATCACATCAGCCAAGCAAAACTTTGCTTTCCCTCTCCCCGTCCAATGCATCTCCTGCGTGCGCGGCCGTGAGCATCGCTGGCCTGGGCATCCTTGGCCCAGTCGACGCAGCACACTGCAAGCAGTATGACTGGCCATCTCACTCTCCCCACACACTACGCAATCCCCACTCGACACCCATGCAGAGCGCTCTTGCGTTGATCGTTGACACATCGCTTTCCATTCTCGTCATCGCCCATCGCGACGTTGCGGGCCGCGGAACGGATCGACGGAGGAAGGATGAGCCGCATCCTAACTGATTGCCGAGGCGACTGGCGATGCAGGCGACATCCCTGATCACGAGGACACCGCACATCTCGAAATAGCCATCGACGCCGCTCTCATCACTCCCCCCGGGCCGCTCACTGCATCATGCTCATTGTTGTCCGCGACATTCTCAGCGCCTCCGAATGACAACTCCGAGCCTCCGGGGCTGTTTCCGACCTCCGCTGCAGCGTTCCCCGTCCACTTCTCCGTCCGCAAGAGCCCGCATCTGCGGCGATCTTGGCGGAGCTCGGCGCGGACTTCCGAGATACTGCGGTGTCGACTGGGATAATGACCCACGTTCCTCCGAGAGCCTAACCTTTCCTCGAAAAGGAAGCTGACCCATCACGTAACGGTGGGAGCACTGACGGCGACTGACTATGGCGATCGATTGTGCCTCGGCAGGTTGGCAGGATGTGAGTCAGGAAAAAGGATGCGCTGTGTGGGCAGCAGGAACAAAGCCATAGTCGAGCACGGAGCTTGTGCATCGAACAGACCATCGGCATCGCTTGCTTCGGTACGGCTCTAAGCGACTTGAATGGTTGACTTGGGACCTCTAAGTCGCTAATGTTGCCAAGCAATCCTGCTACCTTATATAAAAGTAGGGAGCCCGTCGCATTGGTTACTTCATCAATGGCCGCTACTGCTCAGAACCCTCGTTGTAAAGCTCGTTGGATATCACACCACCTATCATGAAGTGGACTGAGCCGGAAAAGATATGCCTCTTTCATAGTCGAGGAATGAGGCAGACACCCACCCACCGGCTTCAAGTGGGCAGAGGTAACGGTGAGATGCACCAATGCTAGCGTTGGATCGGTTCGCAATATAACTCGGGGATCGAGGCGCGTCGTAAAGACGCCCCGCAACCTGTCCCCGTATCGATCACACAGCAGTCAGTCGATGCGCCTCATCGCACTTCGGACAGAGCCCGCAGTGAGGGCCATCCGGTGCCCGTTTCCGGCTTGACGCCAACCTCAATAACGCAAGGGACAATAGCGGAGGCACTGCGCTCGAGCTTGAAGCGAAAACCGCTGCTTCGTACTCGGCGGCGACGGAGAGACCAATCCCTGCGACTGCAAGGGCAACTGCTTACGCCGCAAGTAAGCAGACTCTATCGATCACTGCAGCAAGCCACTGCATGTTGCTTAGATGTGCTAGCGCAATGCAAAGCTTTATTGTCGGGGGTAGGTGCTTCGTCTGAATGGGCACTAGGTGGGTGTTGTGAGTCTCTTCGAGGCACATGCAGAGACCCACCGAGTGCGTTCGGCTGGCACAACAGCAACGACTATACATCAAGTGGAGTAGTGCACACATCTTTCGGTTTGGCTTGACTTGCTTTACAACAGTACCTCATGACTTGCTTTTTAACAGTGCCTCATGAACTGGGACTATTCACCGTCTCCAACGCCCTGCGAGCAGCAACAGGGACACCACACGTGTCCGTTATCGTCCTCACTGGGAAAGTCTCTGAGCTCGATTCCCTCCTCCTTCATCAAGCGAATGGTGGCGACGGCATCCTTGAGGGCCTTGGAGCGAGAGGGCATCCTGCCCGTATTGCACACAACTACCAGGGTATCGTCGACGGGTTCAATCTCGCGCAAGATGCTGCGCCAGTGAATCAGGCTCTTGACTGCCGCCTCAATTCCGCACCAGAGCATCTCGTCATCGTCAAGGGCGCTTTGAGACCCGCGGCTGTACCATTGGATAGACGCGCCTTGCAGAAAAATATTCACGCGAAACACGTCGCCGTCGGGGGCCGTGGCGGCGAAGAGCTTGGGAGCCCCATCGATAGCTGTGTGCTGAATGTGAAGTTGACAGTTACGGACGTCGTCCTTTTTCAGCCAATTGAGAAGGTTGTACGCATCCTCCCAGGTGTCGAGCCACTCATCGGGCGAAAGCTGCCGCTGAGCGTTCCGGGCGAGCTCGGCAGCATAGTGGCCGTACCTCATGTGTGAGGTACTAGTCAACCAGGTCATGCAACCAGCAAAAGCCTTCAGCACAGTCGTAAGTTGCGGGGTGGGAAAAGGCGAAGGAGGAACGGGATACTCAATGACGTTGTTGAAACGCTGGACGACGCGATCGACATATTGCGGTTGGCTGATGGTGAACCTGTCACTGCAGTCAGGATCAGGCGAATCGCGGCGGACTGTGAGGCCAAAGATGAGGTCTTGAGGCCCTCTAACCGCTTGAAGCCCCGATTGATGGAGGGCATCGAGGACGTCTTGGCCATACCCCTTTGGACCCGCAACAACGACGCCACCGTCGTACATCATGGCAATGGCCGTGTTGTAGCCTTCGATCACCAAGCCGGCATTGTGGTCGACAAAGAGGTTGGGATCATGAGCGATGGGTTGGAGACCTGCGCCCTTAAGTCCGCAAGTGATGGCCAGGCGCCCCGCCGCAGGAGCAGTCTTGAGTCCGTACAGGGCCTTGGTAAGAAGGAAGGCGTTCTTCCCAGGGAACTTCTGGCGGGGCGGAATGGCAATGGTGACGGGCTGCTCCAGGTCGACGGAGAGGCAGGGGTCTTCGATGCGGATGTGAGTGACATACAGCTGGTGGTCGTGGGCGTAGGCGAGAAGGAAGAAGAGTGTGTCTGTACTGGGCCCGGAAAGAGCTTTGGTGTCGACCGAGTTGTTGGAGGGAAGACCTCCACCTTTGGCCACCACACGAGCGCGATACTCGATACCTTGGGCGGTGGCGCTGCGTTGGAACAGCCAGCGAGAGCCGAGCGGCTTGACACCTGGGGATGCAGTGATCGGGGTCCAGACTTGCTTGTTGGAGAGCTGCTCCATTTCACGGTCGATTGCCTTCTCCCAGTGGCGAGCCTCTTTGGAGGCGAGGGCGTCTTCGATTGTCTGCGGGACGGGGCCGAGCTTGGCGATGCGCGCGGAGGCGGGAGCCCTGCGTGCTGCTGTGGTTGGAGGCATGGTCAGAGAGGGATCATACGGTTAGGAGGAAATGGTAGTGGGGAGAGTGGTGAGTATGACGGGGAAAGGAAGGTCTTCCGAGTGAGTAAGATCGGCTGAACGTGCGCTCGTCGGAGGAGGAGCACAGTCAACCGTCGATCGCACGGTGGAGGTTGTTTGGTTCCGGGTGATGGTGATGGGTGGAGGTGGAGGCCGTGTTTGGTTCCGCGAGATCAGGTGATGCTGCCAACATCCGGGACGAACGAAGCTTGCTCTCTCCAACTCACTGCGCAGTGCACTCTAACGCTCTACGCGGCAGGAGGTCAGTACACGCCGAATGATCAATAGCTGCTGTCATTGGCCCAGATCTCATGTGCAAGTATAGTCGAATGTTACGATCTTTGGCAGGTAAGAGACACCCTAGTGATTCGTCATGATGTCGCGGTTCATTCCCTTACATTTGTTGTTACCCGATTCTCCGTAGAACAGCAGCAATACCCACCTACACCACAAGAGCCAGCATAGCAGACACAACCAGGCCCCACACACTGTAAACAAGAGTGCTTCCCGAGCTCTGACCAGCCTCTACAGCCTCAGTGTCAGGTTTCGCCTCAACCGCTGACGATGATGCGGAAGCCGGCGGGGAAGTGGAGGCGGAAGATGAGGGCGCCACGGACCTCGTCTGACCTGCGGTAGGCTGGGACTGAGCAGTCGGCGACGAAGCGGCCGATGGACTCCCTGTCACGGTGTCGGGATCGAACGTCTCGCCCAGCTTCGCCTGGTCCATCGCTTCCTTGTCCGCATAAACGACAATCTGGTTGATCTGTGTCCACAGCTCCTTCTCCTGTCTCTTCAGTGTGATTGGCCAGCTTACACTGATCTCAACTGTCTGCGCGACACCTCCCTGCTCGATCTCCCGACTCCATTTGAGGGTCACTTCGCAGCCGGTGCTGGTGCCATTCTTGGTCGGAAAGAGAGGCAGGACCTCAACCTGGTCCTCCAGGCTGACACTGTCGTCCACGTAGCCGAGCTTCAGCGTGCCATCCGTGTCGGCGGACTGTGAGGCGATCGAGATTCCGGCGACATCCGTGCTGAGCTTCATCTCGAGCCTCGCAACTGATGAGTTGGTGCGCAGCCCAGCCTTTGACGCATCGCAGGATAAGACAGTAGCCCACTCGTCCGTCACAGACACTTCGTTCTCGAGGTCGACGCGCCGAGAGCGCTTGCCCTTCATGCTAATGACTGAGCCCTTAGGGGTTACGTCCTTCTCAGGCCACGCGAATGACGAAGCCGCGGCGAGAGCAGTGCGTGTATGCGTGCTGGTCCTAAACCCCTGTCCCGGCGGCACCGACGCTCGCAATCAGTATCACTCTGCAAGTCTGAGCAAGGACGCGGGAACTCACTGGTGTAAAACAAGTTCTGGCTGCGCGTCCCCAGCATACTCGAGATATAAGCCGACATACTACTGATATCCGTACCGGGCATCAGGTCCGCTGCCCCACGGCACAGCTTCTCGGGGGTGCCAGCCGGACAACAACCGAAGCCATCTATGCACAGGTCGCCCACCGTGCACGCGCCCGTCGCTGTTGTCAGCACATCCACTGTGAACGGTAGGCGCACGTACTTCCACAGCAGAAGAAGCCGGGAGGCGCGCAGGAGCTGCCGTCGGGACAGGTCTGGAACACGAGAGATCCTTGGCACGTCCTGATTTGACGCCTCTCGATACCATCGCCGCCGAGGTCGGGCGAGAGATGGAAGCTGAACGGGTCGAGGAGGGTGGCGAGCACTGGTGCTAACAGCGCGAGAAGGGTAATGGGCAGCATCATGAAAGAGTTATGGTCACTCTGTGTCCCCCCAGACTCTGTTATAACACCTGCCCAACTGTGTAGCGTAGCCAAACTCACTCCGAGTATCGCGCGTTGCTCCTCAAGCAGGTTGAGCTGATCAGAGCTCTGCCGGTTCAGCTCACTTTCCGCCAATTCAGACATGACCCCAACAGGGTGAGGTTCGGATCCGGGATTGAAGCGCGGCTGTAGTGCCTGAGAGGGTTGACGAGATATATCAACTCTATTCCGTCACAGGAAGGTACGTCTCTGCACGTCTCGTCTTGGCATACGGGCGGGGGTGATGTTTGATCTTGTTCGGGTCCTGAGAATAGTTAATAGACCGACCGAGAGGCGGTGCAAGATATCTTCGTGATGAGAAGGACGAGACTGCAACCCGGGTCATTCAAGTGGACATTGCCTAGGTTAATCGCCCCGGCTTCCGTAATTCGATTCGGAGGGGATCGCGACCCGAACGAGCCTGCCAAGCTATCATTGAAGGGGAGGGGAGCTAGGCTATCTAGAGGGTGCTCCTGATACGAGTTGTAAGCTTGAAGCGACAGGTGTCAGATGTCCAATGCCGAGGAGGACACAGGCGGGATGATGATGAGAGGGGGAGTTGAGGAGGTTGAGCAGGGTTGAGCAGGGTGGAATTTTGATTCCGCTCCTGCAATCGGCTCTAAGCTCATCCCAGTTCGAGATTGACCAACAGCACATACTTTGCACCTGCTTCTCCTCCATCCACCTAGGCATCGCACTTATTTCGCTCGAGTTAACGCGATTCGAACGGCGACCAGTTGCATACTCTTCAGCGACGAAGCCTTCAAGTTTGTTCACGATATGTGACCTCACCTATCGCCTAGCACCTTTTCGACTCTGTCACCAACGATTTCGGACCCGAGTGATCTGTCTCTTGCTGCTGCAATCCGATTACTTAACTATCACCTTGGGGCGGTGTCATGACCCCATCTTGCACACAACAACGTCTACGACCGACCTTGATAACCACGCCTGACCATGACCACCATTGACCATCTCGCATACCCTCACATCATTGACCTGATATGGCCGCACTTGGCTTACCCCACCCTCGTTGCCGCCAGCAGGACCTGCCGAGCGTGGCGGACCAGATCTTTACCTGACCTTGCCGAGCACGTCTCCATTAGGAGGGGTAAAGGCGAGGGGCTGGACTGCGAACTCATTGTGTCCTCGAGAAACTTGAAGTACCCCGACATCTCCGTCGAGCTAGGTCGCGGCACGGTCAAGTTCTGGCAGCTCGGCATGCACGCCCCGCTCCCCCGGCAGAGGTGGTACGTCATTCCCATCAAGCCCGGACCGCATCCAGAACGATCTCGGTGGATCCCCGTATTCAAGAAGACGCGCATCGTGGACTGGCGGGGCTTTCGCTCCCTCGCAATCGAACAAGTCGGCATTTTGCCCGCCATGATCAGTAACCGGCCACCAGAAACCGCGGAACCAGTCTCGCGCTTATTCGAAAACTTCACAGTCGGCGAGTCGCTCGGAGGGGTCCTCGACTGGGCTCCAAATGTCATCTTCCTGGATGTCGATGCGAGCCGCGGTCTGGCAATTCCAACCTGCGGGTCATTCACAGGCATGCTTGAGCGCGAGAGGGGCTGCCGCCGGACGTGGCGTGTCCGTCAGCTGGCGCTTAACCTCCGATGCATGACAGACCCAGGCGCGGACTTGGTCGCCGTAGAACATCAACACACTTATATGTCTGGTCTGGAACTCGTAATACCAATCATCATTACCGCTGCCGGTGGAGAGGTGCTCCCTGACGCTATGGCCAAACTTCTCAAGGAGCTCCAGTACTACTCAAGCGGAATCTTCGGGCTGGACCAGCTCCTGCCGCCTGGGACGAGCTGGGATGGGCTGCTCGTGTCTGCTGGACTGATTGAGAGAGACGACATGTTCCTCTTCGACAACATCCCATATGGCAACCCCGGCGACTACATCTCGGCAGCTTGGCAAGACAGGAGGAGGCTGTGGGGCAGGCTGAGAGACTATAAGATGTTCTTTCCGGACCAGTTCCTAGTCCACACGGTGAGATAGGATCGTTCATAGACGTCAGCGGGGACATGCATGCGTGTGGTCGAGTACACGTCAGAGGTATGACAGGTCGGGCAATCGGGCAACTCATTGTATCTCGGCCGGAGAAGGCCGGTCCAATCGCCCTGGCCGGGATCAACTCGTAGATCTCGCCCGCAGGTGGGCATCCAAGTAACCGCTCCCTCTTCGACCACTCGACATCGTTTAACGCTGCCAAACCACCGCACACGACGACGCCGCTCGTTACGTCGCTCAGCGCTACGCCTCGGCGGGCAAGCATCGGGCAACCGACTCGACGACTCGGGGCCAGCTCGAGGGCGTCGATGCGACGTACTTCAAGCCACTCATCCCCTTCCTTTTCTCTCCCATTGTCCACTCGCTATCATTCACGTCCCGCCATGCTTCGCCCACTGCTCAGGCGAGGTCTTCACACCCCTCCCCGCTACGCCGCTGCAGCTGCTGCTACCCAGGCTCCCACCCCTCCGCCAGCATCCACACCTCCCGCCGTTCGTTCGTCCAACACCGGTCCCGTCTTCCACAGCTCGCCACCGCAGCCCGTCGCCGTCTCCGCCTCCGGTGTCGCCTTCACGCTGGCGGATGGCAGCCGCGTTTTGGACGGCATGAGCGGCGGCGCGGCCGTCAGCTGTCTCGGATCGAGCAACCCGGATCTCGTCAAGATCATGGCCGAGCAAGCCGAGGCCATGCCGTACGCATACCACGGCGCGCTGCACCACTCCAAGTCCGAGGCGCTCGCGAGCTACCTCTGCAGCAAGAGCGAGGGCGCCTTTGTCGCTGGCGCATTCTTCAACTCTGGTGAGTACCCCGTGTCTGTCGCTGCTGACGCCAGGCTCGGAGGCCAACGAGGCCATTTTAAAGCTCGTCAGACAGTATTGGCTCGAGCGCGGCGAGCCGGACCGCACCTACATCATTGGGCGCGAGTACGCCTACCACGGGAACACGATCGGCGCCCTCGGCGTAGGCTACACACCAGCCCGGCGCAACCTCTACAGTCCCTACTTCACAGACGTGTACCAGCGTGTGTCGATGCCGTCCCCTCGACTCATGCAGGAGGGCGAGTCCGAGGAAGCCTTCTCGCGCCGCATGGCCGACGAGCTGGACGCCAAGATCCGCTCCCTCGGAACGGAGAAGTGCGCCGCCTTCCTCGTCGAGCCTGTCGGCGGCTCGGGACCGGGCATCATCCCCCCGCCCCGAGGCTACTTCCCGGCCATGGCCGAGGTGGTGCGCAGCCACGGCCTCCTCCTCGCCATGGACGAGGTCATGTGTGGTTCGGGCCGCAGCGGCGACCTGTTCGCGCACAAGACGGTCGCTGAGGGCGTCAAGCCCGACGTGGTCAGTATGGCCAAGGGCCTCGGCGCCGCTTATGTCTCCATCTCAGCAGTCCTCGTCAACCAGCACGTCGCGGACACGATCCGCGCCAACGGGCCCTGGAAGAACTCGCACACGTACCAGAACCATCCCGTCAACTGCGCCGTTGCGCTCGCTGCCGTGCAGAAGATTGAGAAGCTTTTCCCCAACGTGCGGGCCCGTGGGGAGCAGATCGTCGCTGAGCTCCGGGAGGCGTTCCGCGGCGATCCCGTCGTGTACGGCGTGCGCGGACAGGGACTCTTCATTGGCACAGAGTTTGAGGTGCCCAAGGGGCTCAAGACGCGCTTTGCGCCCCGCGTCAAGGAGGTCGCGATGAAGAATGGGCTCATCAGTCTGGGCATCACGGGCGGCATTGACGGTGACGCTGGCGACGTCCTCATGCTCGCGCCCGCTTACACCATTACCGAGGCCGAGGCGAGCGAAATGGTGCGTATCGTGAAGCAGAGTGTCGACGAGGTCAAGAAGGAGCTGTTGTAAGAATGCACATGGACTCGGCACAGCGGCACAGTTGCATAGGGCATAGGTTGGTTACGAAGTTGGTTACGAATAGGGACTAGTCACAGCATGGTTCAAGTGTTCAGTGGTTCATATAGGGATTCTGCCGCCCCCCCACACCGCGAGCGATTGTCTCAAGCTCCTGGTCGCGACTGTTGTCGATGCGCAGCTGGTGGTTGCGACCTCCGATGGTGGATCCGCACTCGGGGCAGCGCGCTTCCTGCATGGTTTGACCGCACTGACCGACGGTGAATGGGTGCCCGTTGGGGCACTGGTAGAAACGGCCGGCCGTCCCAAACTCGGCATCGATCGTAGCGCGGACGATAGCCTCCTTCTCCTGGAGCGACACACTCTCGTACCACACGCCAGAATCGATTTGCTTGGCAAACTTCTTCCACTCGTCGAGGATAGAGTCGGCGTAGGGAAGAAGTTTGGCGATGTGGTCAGGGAGCGTCCTGTTGTCCGGATGCTCGAGGGGTAACTTGTTGACGGTACTGAAGAAGGCGTTCTCAGTTTTCTTGAGACGATGGAGACACTCCTTCTCCGCCTTCTCTGCGGCCTCGAAGCGTCGACCCCTACGCTCCTCTTCACGAGGGTGATTCTCAGCTGCGTAGATCTCACCCTTGATCTTGTGACGCATCTCTTCGAACTCAACACGCAGGCTGAGAACGTGGCTGTCAATGACCAGGCGGGGCATCTTGCTCTGGGTGGCCATGCGAGCTGCGAGGATGACATCGCGTTGCGCCGACCAAAGCAGGCCTGTCGCGAGGGCATTGAACGCACGAGCCTGCTGCCTCCAGATGCCGCGGATCTGGCCTTCATCGCCCCCCCTCCCCTTCCCCTTCGAACGCTTGGGGGCCGGGTCCTTGCGGAGCTCCTCGCCGATGACAATTGCCGTCGCTGCTAACTTGAGGCGTGCGTGAATTGTTTGCAGAAGAGCTTCAATCTTGAAACGGCTCTCTCCACCGGGGGGAGGGGCTCCCAGACGCCGGCGCGCGGTGAGAAGCGCGGCCTGAGACGGATCACGCGTGGCTGAGACACTAGACTCCCGGGCGATCGTGAGCTCGTTCCAGTAGATGGACGACATGGCGCCTTCGTAAGCTGCATTGTGAGGCATGCGGTGAGAGATGACCATCTCGCTAAGGAGACGGTACAAGTGCAACGTGGGCCCAGCAAACCTTTGCCAAAGCTGACCAGCTGCACCGTCGATGCCGAAGAGGCCAGGAATCGCGCACTTGAAGTAGTCAGGCTCGATGCACTTGTCGTCCTTCTTCCCGAGCGGGAACAACTTGCGCCGCATGTCTGCGAACTTGACGGTGCCCGGCTTGAGAAGATTGGTCTTGTTGAGGGCGACGCTAATAGTGGACGACTGGTCCGCAGGGGAGGAGCGCGCCAGCTCTGACGCAGCCTGACCGACTTCCGCACCGTAGCGCATGATCGCCACCTGCTCTTGAATGTCAAGAAGGACTCGCTTCGTCGAGCAGTTGTAGCGAGGCGAAGTGACACTGCCGCGGCAGCTCGGGCAAGTAATACGGCTCTGGAACCCTTCAGCAGTCGCGAGCCCCGTCCACTTCCCGGTCTTGGCGTCCTGCGTGTAGCAATCGGAAAGGCGGAGAGTGCCATCCAGAGTTTCCACCGTGAAGATATGGCCGCACTCGAGCGTGATGAGAGGCGTGTTGGGGTCATCCGCGAGCGTCTCACGCAGAGTGGCCTGCATAATGAGATCCGATAACTGATCGAGCTGATCATCGGTCGCGCAGGCCTTGCACACTTGAATCATGCACGGTTCACCGCAAACTGACATCAGCAAGATGGCATTCATGCAACATACCGGAGCTGCACGGATGACCGCAAGGAAGAGTGCCGGTGCACGGCTCATCGCAAGGCAGACGGTCGCACGGCTGATTGTCAGCGTGATTCGTTTCGATCTACGTACCATGCCGCAGGGCAGCTGACAGTCGCCAGCGGCGTGCTCACAACGCCACTCGCATTGCTGCTGACCTAGATGTCAGCGGTGGTCTTGATGGACACTCACAAGGCGCGCAAGCAACATTGCACTTCTCTGGACACGCTGAATGCGTGCAGACCCTCAGGCAGTCGCCGAGGCAGGTAACTGTAGTGTGGTCATGCTGTGAGCCGCAATCGCGCTGACAGAGGTGGCCGCAGGTTGGGACGGGTTTGAGACACGGGTGACGGACGTGGGTCGTGCGCTTGACAATCTCGGCAGTGCCCGCTCCCCGACTCAGCTCTTGGCAGTCGCCACAGCGGTTCGAGCAGGTCTTCGAACAACAGCTCAGGGCGCCGTCACACGTCTTGGTGCACTTCACGTCGGTCAGATCTTCGTCGCAGCATGCGACCATGGCGAAATGTTCGCAAGTCGGCAGCTTCTTCGACACAAGTGTTCTGCAATTGATCGCCGCGAGATTCTCCATTTGGAAACTGAGGTCAGGCCGGCCACTGCGGTATAAAGACGTACCAGAACACGTCGGCGACATGCCCGCAAGGAAGCTCAACGTTCTCCCGACGGACCAAACAGTTGCCACAGTTCTCGTAACAGCGTCGCTCGCAGGGGTGTCCACAAACGGAATGGACGCGCGAGCACTTCTCACGGCACTGGAAGGTCTCGTGCTCCTCGTCGTCAGGGTGGCAAGCGCGCGTGCACTTATGGCCACACTTGACAAGGGTCTTGTCGCAGGGCTGGTTGCAGCCGCCATTGGGCGACACGAGAGGTAACTTGCCGGGGGCATCGATGAACACGACCTGCCCATGACGCTTGCAGCAGATCGGGAAGCCAGGCCCGACCGCGCCTTGGTCGGCGAGGTCGTTGACGACACTGCGCCACATGTCGCTTGCCCCAGCCAGTTGCTCGGCGTTGCCGAGAATGTACATGCCGTGCTGGGCACGCGACAGAGCGACGTTGCTACGGTTGTTGGAGCGCAAGAAGCCGATCGTGGCGTTCGTCTTGGGATCCAGCACATCGGCCGAACCAGCATTGCGAACAAGGGACAAGATGACGATTTTGGCCTCCTCACCCTGGAAGTTGTCGACAGTACGAAGGTAGATCTGGCTGTTCAGGCTTACAGTGCGTGCGACTGTGTTTGGCGGCAGGTCAGGACCGGCTGATTCTTCATCGCCCATCGTCTGAACGAGCTTGTCTTGATCCCGCTCGTCGATGATGACCTCCACCTTCCCCTTGAGCATGTCGCGAATCTCAATCATCTGGCCGAGATACGCGCAGAGAATGACGATGTCACCCTCCTTCTTGTAGGGCCCTTGCTTGAGAAGGTAGAGGGCGAGGTCGCATGCCATCTCAGCCTCGAAACGGTTCGTCTTCGAGCTCCCGCTGTCGCCGCCGCCGGCCTCCTTGTTGCTGTGGTCCAGGAAGAACAGGTTCTTCTGCATACCTGCGACCTCAGGATAGGCGGCGACGGTTTCATGATCTTGGAGGCTGGGGTACAGAGCGTTGCGAATGAGAGACGAGATGTTCGGCGCCATGCGACGCTGCACCAACAGCTGAGACATGGGGAGTCCAGCGAGCGCGAGGCGCTCCATGAGACTCATGTCGAAGCGGAACAGCTCTCGACCACGGCGGTTATCCATCGACAACTCATACGTGTTGACGCTGGGACGAAGTTGGAGGGGATCACCGATAGCGATCACGTGCTCGACAGAGGGAACGAGACTGCTGAGGACATGTGCCTCAAGAACTTGACCGGCCTCCTCAATGACCAGGATCTTCGGGCTGAAGCCCGTCAAAACGCCGCCGAGCTTGGCGGCGCCGGTGGTGGTCGCCCCGACGAGTTGGATCTTGCTAAGGAGTGAGACGCGCACGTTGTCGGTAGCCTCGTCGAACTTGGTTCTCGCCGTCTCGTGCAAAGCTGTGAGAGTCTCAAACTCGGCAATGGACTCCTCGTCGAGACAACGCTTAGCTTCACCTTCGATCAGGCGTGCAACTGCACGACGCTCCTCACGGGAGAAGCTCCAGACGTCGCCATCATCCAGCAGGGTTGAGACGTCGCGCTTCGTCTTTGGGATCGATGGCAAGGTCTTGAGACCGAAGAAGGACAGGAACAGCTCCTGCCTCTCGAGCGCATCACGAGCAGTGGGTGGAGGTGGCATGTTGCCCAGTTCGAATTCGGATTCCGAGTCCGTCGGAGGCCGTCCCACGAGGTCGTTCTCGGAGACCTCCAGATTCTCAGCCTCCTCGTCTGAGAAGTAGTCGTCGACGTCGGCGAGAAGGTGACCATATCCAGCGGCGATGAGCTCCTGGGCATCATCCTCTTCCTCCGGAGTTGGCTTGGGGGCCAGCTTTGACCGTTTCTTTGACGTCTTCGTGAGCTTGGACTCCGATGCCGGCAAATGGAACCGCGAAAACGGCGCGGGGCTATGCTTGGCGGGGGACTCCGGCTGGCGTGCTTGAGCTTGCAGGCCCTTGAGATGGCTCAGGTCCGCTCCCTCCTTCCAGAAATCCCAGAGGGTGTACTCTTGCTGCTTCTTCGACTTCTTGCCGGAGCGCTTCCATTCACCGCTCCCCTGCTCGACACTGAACAGCTCCAGCACGAACGGTGGGGGCTGATTGACCGCGGCGCCGATGTGCGGGTAGAAGACTTCCATGTAGTTGAACAGCTTGTCGTTCGACAGATTGCCGGCGACCATATTGACAATGAGCTTTTCTAAGCGCTACCGTCAGCAACCATGGTTCTACTGCAACGTACCTCGTCCACCTCCTTCATATCCTTGTACGAGTGTCCGACAATGCCATTCAACTGGCTCCGTCCCTGCACTTGGCTGATGGTCTCCAAGTTGTACTGGGAGACAACCTCGTCTTTACTGCGGGTGCCGAGGCGAACAATGTCGCGTGTGACGTCGGCGTCATGAACAGCGCGGAGGATGTGATCCAGCGCATGGTTGGTATACGCGAGCAGAAGGACGGGACCAACATCGTTGGCGAAAAGAACACGCAGCAACTCGACGCCAGTGAAAGTCTTGCCGGTCCCGGGCGGGCCCTGAATGAGGCTGAGAGGTTGAAGGAGTGAGTCGACCACGGCGTCACTCTGGCTGGGGTCCAGCTTGCTGAAGCCATGAAGGACCTGCCGAGCACTAGCGATAGAAAGATCGTCACGAGGGTCGAAGGTGCAAGACTTGACCTCAGCTTCGGGTTTGAGGAGGGAGGACAAGTCCCACGTGAAGTTAGGCGCCGTAGAATACTGGGGCAGACCGATCTCGATACCGTCAAGGTCCCTGTGCACCAGATACTCTTGAAGGGGAACGCGGAGTGGCTCCAGCTGCTGAAGGCTGCGCAAGCAGGGGCGCATAGCCTCGTAAAGAACAGGGCTTTCGAGCAGGAATCGATCAGAAAACCCCTGGCACTCGCCTTGCTGGAGTATCTGGGCAGCTTCGAGGCCGACGGAGGGATCGATGAAGTGGATTCCGAAATCGAATGTCGGCACATCGTCACCGCTGGGGCGCGAATGGGCAAAGTTGGACGCCACTGTCGGTCAGCACATGTCAGTGCACTTGCTCACTCATGGTCAGGATGCCAATCGCAAGTTGAGCATCGCCGTGCTTGTACCGCGTGACGAGCGCCACAAGGCCACCCTGGGGCATGCGCTTCGACTGCTGCCAGTAGTCAACGCGGCTCTTCACCGTAGTAGCGCGGGGCCGTCCAGGCGGAGCAGTTGCACGTGCATGGACAACGAGGCCGTGACGACGGTCCAGAGTGAGATTGACGAACGAGATGTCGGTAAGGATCGGGAGGCGGCTACGAGTAAGCTGCAGCGGCCAGTGGCACTTACACAGAGTCGCGCATCGCAGACTGGTCGATGTACCATCCTCCCCCATCCCGCAGACACTTGGCGACTAAAGTCAGCTCCCCCCTAGCATGGAACATACGCTGCGTGCTGCGGAAATCAGTCGAGCCCATGTCCTCGAGAACAGCCTTGATGCCCTGCTGGAGACCGCCGGCCATGTCGGCACGCAGGAGGCGGAACTGGATATCAAGACTGAACGTCAGAGGAATACCACCATGTACTCACATCTTGGCCATACTGTCATCCGGCAAGTGGTGACGCGCACCAGGAATGTTGGCGGGCATGTATGGGTCCCGCTGAGCGACCATCTCCTCTTCGGTGGGAGGAATGCCGATCAGACGAATGTCCGCATGGTCTTCGGTCAGCGCAGATTGAGCCAAGTGCACTCACCATTGTTATGACGAGGGCCATCCTTGGACAAGTCGCCTGGTCCGTCGTACTCGCGATGAATAGCGGCAATCAAACCGAGCGATGACCCAGAGGTAAGGACGCGCTGCGTAGCGTTCTCCGCTTGAGGAAGAGCCTGAGAAACCGTTTCATTCATGAGGTTCATGGTCTTGCGAATCGCCGCGATGATTGCCTTCCTGTCGGCGGTCGACTGGGGGGCCAATTGGTCTCGGAACTGAGCCTGCGAGGTCTCCATGGCGGCCGCCCAATCCTCAAATTTCGTGCGCAAGAAGGTGGCAAACTCCTGCAGACGAGGATGGGTGGTGGGCGCAGTGCGATAGCGATTGACAAATCTGGTGTGAGCTTCGCGGGCGTCAAGACTCACTCAATGATCATGCTAGCGACGGGCTTGAACACTTGTGCTCCGGAGATGATCTTGACTGTCGAGATCGTCGCGAGTCCATAGCGACGAGACAGGCCGTCGTAAAACGACTTGTCTGCCATGCATGTGGTGATGTTGGTCTTCAGGGTAGTGATGCACTGGTCAATGTTGGCGTCAACGACGGCGTAAAGAGAGCTGGCATTAGCGGCGCCCCGATCAGCGGGCCTGGGCTCACTTTGTGGAACTCTTGGCGGCCGTCTTGAGGACCGACCCCGAGGTAAGATACTGAGAGTCAGCAAAGAGCTTTGCAGCCTCTACGCACGGCAATGAGTCCGATGTAGGACTGGAACGGAAGCGTGGTCGCTGCATCGCCCTTGGTAGACACCTTGGGAAAGCTGAACACATCGGCCAGGCGTGCTGGACCCCATTCCGAAACCTGGGGTCAGTGGGCGCAGCAGTCGCAACTCACATCAGAGAGGTCTGCCAGTGTCGCCTGGCGCTGTTCAAAGGTCTGTTGTCAGTGTCTCGATACCTGATCCTACATACCCAGCCGGTGTTGTGGGCGTTGGACTGGATGATGGCACCGATGAGACGATCGGCACTAGCTGCATTGATGATGGCGTGTCCATCCCGCTTGGCAGCAAGAATGGTGCGGATACACTGGGCGTAGGGTTGCACGCGAACGGGGAACACAAGTTCGTCCGACTGGGTGGTTGACACTGCGCTCAGTGTAGGAAAGGGAGGCTCCGTCGAGAGGCTGAGAATCGCCGCCGGTGCAGGGGCTTTGGGCGGCTGGGTCTTGACCTCAAGTGCGTTTGCCTGGCCACTGGGCTGGCCGTTGGACGCCTTGATGTGTGCAAAGTTACACTTGTCTCCTCTCCTTGGCAAGTCAGTTTGCTAGAGCGACGGACTGCTCTACTCACCAGCAGTTGCCGCGCGCGTAGTGGTGGCACGGCTGCCGCATGTTGACGGTCGCTTCCGTTGTGAACGACTGAGTGGAGAGTTGCCAGAGTTCAAGATGAGTAAGTAGAGTGGAGATGTTATGTCTTAAGCTCCGGGCCCTCAGCAGCCTTACCCCTTCGCCCCTCGCCGCAGCGCCCTTCTCCTTCACAGCAGTACAAGGTTAGCTTTAAAGCCCCATGAATGTCTGTCGCCCCGAGTGTGCCCTTGCACGGGGCGCTGTCCTGCAGCACAACCACTGCCCCCGTACCCCTTTGGCAGGCAATAGCGACGCGTTCACCAACTCATTCCTGCACCATGCAGGCGCTGGGTCGCTTGTTGTTGTCGTCAGATGCCTGCCATAAGCGATTAAAGGCCTCGTCATGAGACGTTTGGAGCCATGGGGAAGGGACTGTGCCATTGTCAGTGGTGCGAGGAAGACATGAAGACGGGGGCGTTCTAAGGTCGAGGAGGGCCGGACGGGGAAGGAGGGGCCGCAGTTGCGTTGAGCGAAAGGGACATCAGATCTGGGTCCCGACCTTGCTAATCTTCATATGTGTCGCACCATTGGGCGCATCAAAGCAGGCAGTGGATTGTGAGAGAGTCGGACGTGGGAGTAGTCTGATCGAGTCTGAAAGATGGAGCAGATGGGAGATGCGACGCAGGAGGGGATGACGCGAGGTGGCCACCGTGGGAAACAGTGCGTTCATCCCCTCTCTACCGTCCAGGCAGATAGATCTCTGTCCATGGCCCTGTTCCGCGACAATTGTTCTCCAGTACTTCCAGTCTGGTGCCTCTAGAGTGGCAAGGTGGAAGCCGAGCTGCAGTGCTGCAGATGTTATTTCCATCGTTACTTATGTCCACCGGAATCCACTCGGCATCTTGCAAATTCGCCGCTTCTTGTCGACCCTGATCGTATCATGAGGACAGGAATGCCTGTCCGCACAGAGCTGTGCCGGTGCGAGGAGCGAGGGCGCATGGACACAGACACTGCTGTCTCCGCCCGACGGACAAGTCGTTGGGCAGGAAGGGCGTGCACTCGAGGGCGACGTTGCAAGGCTGTGCGAGCAGGTGACGGCGTCGTTTCGTCTCCAAGACGGTATTGCCTGGGTCAGACAACACCTACGACGAGAGGCCACCTCACTCTCACGTCTGCATCATCTTCTTCCACAACGCTCCGTCGCTGACAATTCTGAAGACCCTGCAACGGCCGCCATTTAGCGCATGTGCTCATGGGAGGGGACTGGACGACCGCATAGCGACACCTGCGCTCGATAGCGCACCACGTCGTGCGACAAGCCACCCAGCACCTGCATCGGATGATCCAACCCTGCTCCATTCTGTTATGTGAGTTGGCCCGGCTGTATGACCTTCGATGTAGAGCCCCTTCAACCCACCGAATAGATCATGTGTGGACCAATATCCAAGATTTCTGAATCATCCCCATCATCAGCTGCATCGAGCGCAGAAGCTGACACACGCAGGCAGCGCCCGCTCGGTGTCAACTGCGAACACCACCTGCACCCTGCTCAGCCCTGCCCGGTCACTACAAGGCCTAACGAGTGCATACTTCTGACTATGAATACCGGGATATACTTATATGAAAACCTAGATCTATCGCCTACGACCTGTTGATGAGCGAGACGATGCTGTGACGGGCGTTGCTGAGGATGCTGGGAGCGTTGACGACAGCGTCGTAGAGCCTGTTGACGATCTCGTGGCTCTTGGCAACGACAGCGGGGCCAAACTTGTACGCGCCAAACGACGCCGCAACAATGAGTGCGAGGAGCGCGACCGTCTTGCGGATCTGCTGGCGACGGGCCAGCTTCTCGGCGCCAATGTAGTCCTTCCACACGGGCCAGGCGTTGTCCCACCACTGATCCAGGACGGTTCCGGGGTAGTGCGTGAAGATGCGCCCGTGCCCGCCCTTCTGCCAGTAGGACGACTTGATGCGCGGCCACGTCGTGCGCTGCAGGCGCGCGGCGATGCGGTCGTCGTACGCCTTGGCCGCATCGGCCTTGACCTCGAGGCGCGTGATGCCATTGTCGCGCATGGCCTGCACGATCTGCGTGATATACGACGCCTGCACCTCCAGGATCTCGGTCACCGAGCTGTGGTTCACGACCCAGTTGCCGCCGAGCGTCGTCCAGTAGTTGGGCAGGCCCGGGAGAGCCGTGCCGTGGTACCACGTCAGGTCGGCGCGGGTCTTGTAGTTGTTCGTGCTCTCCTTGGGCGCGGTGACTTCCATGTCGATGTGCTCCGCGTTGTATCCCGTGGCGAGAATGACAATGTCGGCCGGGATTTCCTCGCCCGTGTCGGTCCGGACGCCCTTGGGCGTGAGTTCCTGGAAGCGCGCAAAGACGGCGCGGACGTGCGGGCTGTTGATCGCCTTGAAGTAGCCGTCCTCGAAGATGTAGCGCTTGGCCTGGAACGGGAACTCGGGCACGATGTGCTCCTTCAGGTGCTCGGGCGCGCGGGAGATCATCCATTCACCAATCTTCTTCTCCATCCGCTTACGCTCGGCCGCGCCCTCCTTCTCCCACTGGACGTAGAAGCGACGGTCGATGTAGGTGAGGATGGCCCAGCGGTGCAGCCGCTGCAACCACGGATGCCGCTGACGGATGTCGCGCAGCTTGTCCGACACGGGGGAGCTGTTCGTGTCCTGCGTGATGGGGCCCGAGGAGGAAGGCATGAGCCACTGCTTGCTCTTGGCGATCGAGACGAGGTTGATCTTGTCGTCTCGGCCCAGAGTGCCCACGATTTGCACGCCAGACGCTCCGTTGCCGATGACAGCAACCGTCTTGCCGTGCATGGCCTCGTTCGTCAGGTCCTTCGGCCAGCGGGCCGCGTGCACAACGCGCCCCTTGAACTGCTTCTCGCCGGGGACCTCGATGCGCTGCGGCTCGGAGAAGACGCCCGTCGCACCAACGATAACCCGATAGTCCTCGGTGTACTCCTTGCCGGTCTTGTTGTCGCGCAGCGTGACGTGGTACACATCCTTGTCCTCGTCCCACTCAGCCTTGACGTAGTCGGTCTCAAGCCGAATGCGGTTGTTCAGACCCTGCGTCTTGCAGATGTTGACCCAGTACCGCTGGATCTCGGTGTGCAGCGGATGCGTCTCGGTCCACTGAGCGTTGGTGAAGCGCGAATGGGAGTAGGCGACGGCAGGCACGTCGCATCGGCATCCCGGGTAGCGGTTCGCATACCATGTTCCGCCAACGTCATCGAGGCGGTCAATCATGACCCAGTTGGACAGATTGGCCTGGTCCAGGTCGAGCGCGACCGAGATGCCGCCGATGCTGGCTGTCAGTTGCGGAAACCTATCCTAAGCTCACCCGGCACCGACGATGAGGACCGACGGGGTCTCCTTGGTATGGAGCTGCTCTGCGATAGTGAATGGTTGGGCCATGGTGGATGGGGCGATAGCAAGAGATAACCGGGGGATCGCGTGGAATGGCCCAATGTATATGAAGGTCGGGTCGAACGGGGTTCTCGGTGGCCACGGTGTCCATGTCCATTCTTCGGGCTCTCGCCAGGGTTTCCGCAACGCTTACTGAACTTTACCGGCGGAATCGGGTTTCGGGCATCACCACACTCTTCTTTCTTGTGAATTGCTTTGCTCCGGGTTCTGCTGCATCTTGGCGTGACTCATGCCACCTGACCTCATCAGTCTCGCTGCACGGACCGCCTTGTGCGTCTTGAACATCAACATTAGCCGCGTCGATGATATCAGACGTCCACAAAGAGCCCGAGATTTCGCTGATCTACGGCGTCGACAGCAATATCTAGGTGGGCGCGGATTGGTCGCGGGTCCGCCCGCGTCGTCGTGTCACGGCCAGATCCCTGACAGACCTGAACCTCAAGATGCGGACTGTTCGTGCGCTCTCACCGTCGTCCAGGACGTCTACCCCGCACGCCCGTTCCGAACCCTGCCGACTGTCCCTTGCATGCGCGCTCTCATCGCCCAATGTTCACCGTCGACAACAGCGCATGCAGAGTTACACCCCAATCACGTGTGCCTGCCCACTGACAACAATGAGACCTGACGCGATCTGGCACTCGGCTGATGCGAGCCCCACACTCTCGGATGTGCCCGACATTCCTGCCCACATGTCCACAAGAGCCAAGCCCACCTCCCTCCCGATCGACATATAACCTCGTCAGCAACCAAACGTCCCCGGCCGCCTTGACACAGACTCCGCAATGACCACCCAGACCCAGAAGAGCGAGGTCGTCGACACACCCGCGCCAGGCGACACTTGTGAGTTTCCCACCAGCGGGTGTGCCTGCAACCTCTCAGCCCGGTTGCTCAGGGTTCAAACACGCTGATAACAGACCGCCCCATCACAATCCCCGCCGGCGACCATGGAACCCTGCGGGGTATCGAGATCGTCGCCTCGGACGGCACAGCGCGAGCGCGCCGATTCTGCCAAGTGCCCTATGCTCAAGCGCCGGCTGGCGAGCTGCGATGGAGGAAGCCTGTTCCCCTCCCCAACGACCATGACTGGAGCGGCGTCGAGGGAGACAAGTTCGGATACATCGCCCCGCAGCCGACGTACGTCATGAAGAACGATGCGGGGGACGAGTTCCCTTCTGGCGTCCCCGGAGCAGTGGCGAACGAGGACTCGCTCACGTTCAACGTTTGGACGCCGCCGGGTGAGCCACCCGCCGGCGGCTGGCCGCTGTTCGTGTGGATCCACGGCGGATGGCTGCAGATCGGCGCCAGTGGTATGACGGACCGGACCGACCCCAGCTGGGGACTGGGTGACGGAGCGCTCAAGGCAGTAGTGGTCATGCCGGCGTACCGACTCGGTCTGTTCGGCTTCCTGGCGAGCGAGGAGATCCGCGCCGAGAACGACGATGGAACAGCAGGCAACTTTGGCTTCTGGGACCAGCGCCTCGCCCTCGAGGTCATCAAAGCGAATGCGGCCATCTTCGGCGCTAACGGGGACAACCTCACGCTCGGAGGACTGTCCGCGGGCGCCTACTCTGCCCAGATGCAGATCGCGTACGACCTGCGCCAACCGCAGCCGATCGTGAAGCGTCTCATGCTTTGGAGCAACACGCTCCCGGCGCAGCCGAAGAGTCTCGCAGAGTCGCAGCCTGGATTCGACGGTCTCTGTGAGAAGTTCGGCGTAACTGGCTCCGGCGAGGAGAAGATGAAGAAGCTCCGCGCGATCCCGATGCAGGACCTGGTCGACGCGGTGCTCCAGCTCAAGATCCACACCTTCCGTGCCGTCACCGACGACGCCTTCATTCCCTCCGACCTGTATGCGAGCTTCCACGATGGCCGCCTCGCCGCCGCGCTTAAGAAGTATAACATTCCCGTCCTCCTGGGTGAGGTGGCAGAGGAGGAGCTGCTGTATGGAGTGACAAACCCGCCTTCGTCGCGGGCAGACCTCCGAACCCAGCTGGACAACTACTATTGTCCTGCGGTTGTGCAACGCCTCCTCGACTATTACGACCCGCAGCTGCCTCCTGACCAGGGCGAACTGGAGCGCGGCTCAGAAGAGTGGAAAGCCCTCCGCGCCAAGTTTGGCGAGATCACGGCCAGCGGTCAGGTCTACGTCCCCGAGCGCGCACTCGTGCGCTCCCTGGTCGCCGGCGGCGTGGACCCCAACAACATCCTGCGGTACCGCGTTGCGTGGAAGCCAGACGCATACGCCAAGATCTCCCTGTTCGGAGAACACGTCACGCATGCGGATGACTATTGGTGTTGGTGGTACGGTGCGCGCTTCGGGTGGACCGAGAAGGACAAGAAGGTCAACCGCGAGTGGCTCGCGCCGCTCCAGCTCTTCCTCGAGGGACGGCACGAGGAAGCTGCGAAGGAGTGGTACCAGGGCAAAGATGCCGATGGGCGCAAACTGAGGGAGATCCGCGAGGGCAAGATTGGTGTCGCCGAGGATGACCGTTGGGACGAGTGCATGCGCATCGCGGATGCTATTGCGGGCAAGTAGAGAATAGTCAGAAGCCAATGCATACCATGATAACGGCTGGTTGACTGGAGAGACTGGTCAGCGTGGATGGAGGATCCTGCCTATCTCGGCGAGTCGGCCATTCCTCCGAGGAAATTGGAGTCCACAGATGTCAGCACCCTCGCTCCTGTCTCCATCGCTCCCTGCAGAAGGATTTCTCTCTCTGCCGTCATGTTCTATCCATGGAACGCGCGGGCATCAAGCGCGGCCGAGTGTTCCGTCAGCAGAGGGCAGGGTCGGTCAATTTGTGATAAGCGAGCACGTGCGGCCGTCCAGGGTCCATCCATCTTTCCAAGAACGTTTCTGTCTCTCGTCCTCTCGTTGGCAGAAGGTTCAGAGTGATCGAACCCATACCTCCGGAGAGCACGCCGAATGAAAAGAAACGCGCTTCTGTCAGGTCATGTCACTTTTCTGCTGTCTGACGCCATGTCACGGCCATAGGTTCGCTAGGTGTCTATAAATATGCGGGCATCGGGCAAGCAAGCCTCGCCCAACCCCATCTCACAACACCCAGCATGCTCCGCCTCCTCGTCGCTGCGCTACTCAGCGTGCCCGCTCTCTCCGCGCCGGTCGCGACGCCCAACTTCGAGGTCAAGCTCTCGCTCCTCCCCGCCGCTCTTTCCTCCGGCAAGCCCTCCTCCGAGCTCGTCTCCGCCTTTGCGCTCGAATCCTCCTCCGAAGAGCGCACCTACGCCTATTACGACACGGACGAAAAGGCCCTGAACGCGGCCGGCTGGGCCGTCCGCCTCCGACACAAGGAGGGCAAGGACCTCCAGCTGACGTACAAGAAGAGGTACCCCGTCTCTGACCTCTCCTCCGCGCTGTCGCAGGCCAAGGACGAAGGGTTCGACTCCAGCGACACGAACTACGAAGCCCAGGTCGACTGGAGCTACGGCAAGCAGGTTCTCTCCTTCTCGAACGAGAAGAAGACCTCGTCTTCTGGATATTCGGGCACTTCGCTCCCGGATGGTGGAGCCGGACTCCAGCTCCTCGTCGACAAGATTCCCGGCAAGCTTCAGGACTGGCACAGCAAGGATTGGGGCAAGAGCACGCTGAAGAGCTCGCGCGAGCACGGCCCCGTCACCTCGAGCGTGTGGGACGGCACGTTCGAGGGCGTCGAAGCCAGCGTCGAGGTCCTCCCCGTCAAGGCCGCCAGCGGCAGCGGAACTGAGCTCTACACCGAGTTCTCGTTCAAGGTCAACGACGAAGCGACGGCTAAGAGCCTGAGGGACAAGGCCATCAAGCTCGTCGAGGGCAAGGGATGGCTTGACAAGGATGGAGACCTCAAGACCTCCATCGTGCTGGATCGGTACTAGCCATATAGGGGATTATGTCAGAAGATACCAGCCTAGAGAAGAGACGCATCGCCCAGTGCACCGAGCAAAGCTCCATCAAGCCAGGACAGATCGCCGAGATCGCCGAGTGGGGCCAGAAGGGCTTCGAGAGACAGCGGAGACTCCTGATTCACCGTGTCAAGGCCGAGACAGACCTGCACAGCGCGATATGTCTCCTGCAGCTCGGGTACCTGTCTCGACGCGATAAGGAGCAGGGTTGCGCTCCTCTTCAGAGCCGATTCGAGCACGTCCCAATGTGTCTCGTTACAGCGTGAGACAACGTGGGCGAAAAAGTCGGTCACGAACGGCAGGAGAGCTGTGTTGCCCTTCAAGATGAGCTGCAGAGCGAACGAGATGGAGTTCGAGATGTGGAGCGAGGCGTAGGGCGACCATGCCTCATGTGCCTCGGGTGCCAAGGTGGCCGCATAGGCGAACGCATCCTTGCACATCTCCCCTGCGCGGTGTATAGCGGCATCGACCTGAGGGCCAGAAGTCAGACTCTCCACGATCAGACGGTGGATCACGACCCGAAGTCCGAGAAAGGAGACACGGCAGGAACCTGGAGTCAATTATGGATAATGGTTGAACACTCACGAACACCACTCGGCTGGATTGGTGAGTCAGTAAACAATTCGCTGAACCGCTCGGTCAATCGGTCCACGCGGGTCTCAAGGTCATCCAGAATCGTGAGGCGAGTGACGACCGAATGCCCAGCGTTGACCTTGTAGAAGTGTCGAAGGAGATCGCTGCCGTCAGGTCCACGCCTGACTGAGACTCACTCCACAATCTCGGTCAGATGGCACTCGGCCACGAAACTCAACATGCTCAACCGCGCATCGCGGCTATCCCCCTCGACCTCGGGAATGCGGACGTTGTGCGTTTCTCTTGCAATTCTGGAATCAGCGGTGGGGTTGCTATAGAAGTAACCCACTGGCAGGGTCTGCCATAGAGGAGAGCTCGCCACTTGTCATGCACAACCAAGCTCCACCATATCCTCCGCCTAATGCTCTTCTCCCAGTCTGGCAATGTCCAGAAAGTCGGGTCAATGTGGAGCCCGAGGAGCTGAGCGGCGCCTGCCGCCTGCAAGGTAAGCACTGATCAATGTCTCTCCGCTTCCGTGGCCATTGCGGAGTAACGTTCGGTTGCAGACTTACCCTTCCCAAACCAATTTCGCACTGACCCGCATTCTCGCTTGGTCTCGAACACAGAACCAGGATTGCGAGCTGGAGCGTCCTGAGTCGAGGTTGCCGATACTCGTCCTCGAGTCCCAGCAACGCCTGGGCCCAGAGCTCCTTGCGCAGAGGAGCAATGTCGGGGAGGTAGCTCGTGCAGTGTGCCATGATCCCCGTCAGCAGAGCGTAGCGCGGCGACGTCCGCGTGCTCGCCACCAGCCTCTCTCCGTCAATGAAGGGGAACGCAGGCAGGGTGATGCGCACGAGTGCCTCGATGGCCCTCTCCGCCGTTACTTCAGGTACGAGCGCACATGCAGTTCTGAATGCGTCCTGCCCAGAATTGGGCGCACGGCCGTAGAGAAAGGAAGGGTGCTTGATAAAGTACGCCGGGTGTTGCTCGTCGGTCGAGACTTGCCTGAAGGAGAGAATGCCCTCGCGCGTGAATGCCGAGCTGACGCGAGAAGAGGGGAGGATAAGGCTCGAGAATACGCCCGTTCCCACAAAGTGGGACTCTTCGTCGTCTGCGTCGTCTTCGAGCGAGCTGGGGTCCTCGGTCGGCGCTGTCCGCGTCATAGAGGACGGTCCGGCAGCGGCGGGTTCCGCTGGAGGACGCAGCGACGGGGGAACAGGTATTGCTAGAGGAGGCGAGTTGCGCCTACGTTTGCGAGAAGTCGGGGCCATGTTGAACGTGCACTCCCTTCCCCGCGTACTGCATCCGACACATGGCGGGGCGACGGGGATCGCGCACATTTGCTTGTTGCGCCGGCCTTGCGTCAGCATTGTTAGCTAGAGGTCAGCTCACAGGCATCGCACGGCCGCTTAAGACGTGATCGGGGGGACCTTCCTGCATTCGTTGTGTTCACTGCTGATGAAGCTTTGGGCATGCCGGCCACTGGACGGAGCGACTGTAGTAAGCGCCTACGGGCCGAGAGATAAGTTCAAAGACGAGATTATCGTTATCCGACCCCGTTCTTGGCCGCACTTCGCCGAATTGCTTCCGCTGCTGGCCGCGGCGAGCTCACCGGTGTTCGTGACGTCTGCGATTGCATGGCACCACTCCGCTGGAGCAATTCACGCTGCAGCTTGGCGTAAAAGGGCGGCATAAGGAACAGGAAGACGGTCAAGTGACATTCAGCACGGTGGGCGAACATAAGCTCTGACGCCATCAGACCCGCCTTCCCCGCGGCTGAACATCATGTGCTCAAGCCATGAGTCTCTTTGCAGCACATGATTCGAGTGTTCGGATCGTGGTGGAGTCTTCGAAGGTGCGCCGCTTGCGCGTTTGCGTTTGTTCCTTGTTGGAGCCAGGCAGATCCGGGCACCAGGCACGACGATCGTACCGGGGCTGTGCAACATCCGCATTTTGGACCCGCAGAGCGTTGCAACCTCTTCAACCAACTGACCCCGAAACAGACTTCCTAGCACTCGGAGGGCGGACGGTTAAAGTATGGATGCCCGCCGTCTAGCTCGTCTAGTAGACACGGCTTGCTGACAGACGGGGGGCCGCTCACTGGCTGCCGTGGTCCGTCAGTCGGAACCGGAACTCAGCTACAGGCGGTCGGAGGCATGCATGATGAGACGAGGATGAAATGCTTCCGCCCCTCAGGCTCATGCTCAGGCTCAACCAAGCGAGCCGTCCTTTGGCGTGCTTTGCGTGCCGTACTCTGGCAAGGGGGAGGAACAGAAGAGTGGGACTCACCGCGCGATGGAGCAATGAGCTCTCGAGCATTGACGCGGGACCAAAGCTTAGGTAGGAACCCCTGTATTGAGTAATATCGCGGCGTACTCGGCGATGCGTCCGTCCGTCCTCTCTATCAGTAGTGACCTGCTCCTCTGCTCCGCTGCCGCCCGCCTCCAGGCGAGGGTGAACTTTGCGCGTCTGGATGGTGGCCCGCAGGTACGAGATTGCAGCCAGGCACCGTGTCTGCTCGTCAAAAGAAACTGATCTGCGCAGTGATTGGAAGGTGAAATCGCTGAAAACGCTCAAAATGTCGCGGTCACATGACTTATAGCCGGCTATGGCGTACAACGGACCATTCACAGAGCTCCTCACTCCGCTCTAGCCTCTACGCCGCGTCGTATTTTTGGCCGCGAGCTGGCCCTGCCCGGGGCACAACGCCTGCAGACCCCTGCATGCAGACAGGGTCAGCCTGGGCTTGGCGATCTTGGCATCGAGCACCGCACACCACCTGCACCCCTCCCACATGGGGCTCGAGGCGTCCCGCTCGACCCAACACACAGCCAACAAACTGCTCATGCGACCCCTCTACCCCTCGGGCCCCTTAGCTCTGGCTCGCAATTAAGGACCCCGCGCCCCGCCTGACGCCATGTACGCAATACGCAAGCGTTCCTACCGGGTCAGCCCCTTTGCGCGCTAGCCCTGCCCCGGGCCCAACTTGGGGCCAGCCCGCCCCGCTAAACGGGCTAGGCTGGAGCAGAGTAGTGCCCCCGCGTCCATCCCCCCGCCCGTATCGCTTTATCATATCTTGAGTTTCTATATCATCTCACTATCGCCCCGCCCGACCGAGGATCGCACCCTTTCGCCTTTCGTCTCTTTGACAGCCGGACCGCGACGACCGCCACCGCCACCATTCCACCCACAACCGAATTATAATCATCTACAGCCATGGCTGGCCTGAAGAACATCTTCAGTAAAAAGTCGACGGAGGTCGACTCCGAGGCAGAGGCCCGCCGCAGGGCGTCCGTCGCGAAGAGCAAGCGCCGCAAGGCCAAGCTCGGCTCCACCGCTACGTGAGTTGCTCTTCCGAGAATGTCTAGCTGACAGTCACAGCATCTTTGCGGCCGGAGCGGCGCTCTTCTCGGACGGATATGCGAACGCCGTCATCTCGCCCGTCAACACGGTGCTCGCCATTCTGTACCCGGAGACGATGGACTCGAAGAAGAACAACAACCGGACGGTCCTCAGTGCCGTCGCTTTCGCAGGAAGTGAGTTCGCAAGCTGCTGCGCCGCCCAGCTGTCGCCGTGCTGACCTCAGTGATTCTCGGTATCCTCTCCTTTGGCGTCATCTCGGACAAGATGGGCCGCAAGCCAGGCATGTTCCTCACCTCTGTGCGTACCTGACCACAGCGACCGCTGAAGCTAACATCTAGTCGATCATCGTTATCTGTCTCATCCTCTGCGCTGCCTCCTCGGGTCCTCCCCAGGTCATGATCAACTGCCTCATCGCCTTCCGTTTTTTCCTCGGTATCGGTATCGGCGGCGAGTACCCCTGTGGCTCCACTGCGGCTGCCGAATCGTCCGAGAACTCGACGGTCAAGAAGGGTCGCCAGCAACGCCTGTTCGTCTGGGCCACGCACTTCATCATCGACATGGGCTTCCCCGCTGCGTGGTTCGTGCCCCTCGTGCTTGTCTGGATCTTTGGCGAGAGCCGCAAGGGCCTCGGCATTGTGTGGCGCGGCGCGTTCGTGCTCGGCGCCTTCCCGCCGCTGCTCCTCATCATCGCGCGCCTGTTCATGGACGAGCCTGAGGTGTACAAGAAGAACTCGATGAAGCACAAGAAGATCCCCTACAAGCTCATCTTCCGCCGGTACTGGGTGCGCCTGCTTGCCGTGTGCTTCTGTTGGTTCATCTACGACTGGATCACGTACCCCTTCGGTGAGTTCTTCTGGCACGGCGAAGCTGACCTCTAGGTATGTACGCTGGAACGATCACGTCCAAGGCGATCGGCGACGACCCTCCCCTCGTGCAGCAGCTCGGCTGGGGCTGTCTCATCAACTTCTTCTACGTTCCCGGTGCCTTCATCGGCGCATACCTCTGTGACTGGCTCGGTCCCAAGCCGACCATGATCCTGGGTCTCGTCATGCAGTCCATCTTCGGATTCGCCCTCTCCGGCGCCTACGGCTACTTCAAGGAGCGCATCGTCGGCTTTGCGATCATGTACGGCATCTTCCTGTCGTGGGGCGAGGTCGGTCCCGGAAACAACGTCGTTCTCTTCGCCGCCAAGGCTTCGGGCCCCACCGCGGCCCGCGCGCAGCTCTACTCCCTCGCCGCGGCCAGTGGAAAGGTCGGCGCCTTCATCGGCACGTACACGTTCGACTACATTGTGCGCCGCTTCCCGCCCGGAGACCTCCAGGAGACGGGTATCTTCTACATTGGCTCCGGTCTTGCGCTCCTTTCTGCGCTGGTTGTTCTCATCTTCTTCCCCAACATTCGCGCGGACGCCATGAACGACGAGGACGCCCTGTTCCGCCAGTACCTCATCGAGCACGGCTACGACGTCTCGGGCATGGGTATCGGAAGTGAGACCTCGCTCGAGAGCGGCGCCACCATCGAGGACGACAAGAAGGTCTTCCCGAACGGAGTCCGCGAGGAGGTCGTCGAGGCGGACATTGACGACAAGAAGTAGGCGCTTGCGTTGAGGGCGTAAGCCCAAGTTGCGTAAGGACCTCGTCGTCTTCGCCTTCCGTTCACTCAGTCCTCCCCCTTCTCGAATGCCCATTTCTTCATTCTTCGCTCTTTTTAGTCTTTTTCAACAAAAATGTCTTGCCCCTTACCAAGGTCTCAACGTCTTTTCCAACACACGGACTGGGTTTTTGTCAACAAATCGGAAACTGTATCTATCCCCGCGGGAGCAGCCCTCCTGGCTCTCATACACCACAACTATGCTCGTATCAATTATGCACCGAATCGGATCGAAATCAGAGTTTTCTCCTCGGTCATGACTAACACCTCGTTCTGTTCAGGTCCTGCCGGTTCTGTGGGAACCCTGGGGGTGACATCCGGACGTTGGGCAGGTGGGCTGTTCAGGGAGCGTTATCTCATCTTATCACGGGACGCCCCTCCTCGGTCCTCCCACGGGACGCCCCTCCTCGGTCCTCCCACGCGCACAACCATGACTCACCCCTCCTCTTGTGGTGAACGCCCCGAAATACGCCACGATCGCTTGTGGGGCATGCATCCTTGCATGCCAAGAGAGATCGAGAGCGCGTGACACTAACACCTCAAGAGACATTGAACTGCGCACGTTAGTGCGGACTGACATGGATCTCGGATCCGACCTACTCACGGACCCGGCACCAGGTCACCAGAAGCAGGAATGTGGCCCGACACATACAGCACATGAACGCGGAAGCTCAAGAGTCAAGCATGGCATGCATGGGCCACCTGACCGGCAGAGGAACCCGGGCGATCTCAGATCTGGGTCTTTGTAACGCGTCGACTCGGCCGGCGTCCGCTTTGGGGGTTTATAAGAATGCTACCTCGCGCATCACTTTGGTTCCCGACATCGCAACTCTGATCTCAACGGGAAAGGACATGCTACCCACCATCACCTGGTCCATCGCCGCCCTCGGCCTAGCCGGCTCGACCGCTGCAGGAGAGTACGACCTGTACACCTTCCTCCTCTCCTCGCCCCTCGAGCGGCGGCAGCAAACGCGCACCTGCAACGGCCAGACGGTCTTCCAAACCTGCCCCGACGGGCGAACGTGCGCACCCTCGGGTTTCTACTGCTGCGGCCGTGAGTTATCCTTCCTGCTGTTCAAAGGAGTGCAGACTAATACATGCAGAAACCGGAGCCTGCATCAACGGATACCGATGCCTTGGGACTGGCTGTTGCCCACCTGGCGTCGAGGACGCGCTTTGCCGGCAAATTCACGCTGCAGCCGATAACCCGGAACAAATGTCAAGCCTTATCTCCAGTATGGCAAACGACTTCATGACGCGAACCAGTGGCGGACTCCCGAGCGGGCTGTTCCGTGAGTCACTCTTCCGGCCTCACTCTAACCCCAGCCTCCCTTCCGCCCCTGGGCACGGGCGCCATCCCCGCTCCCATGCCAACCGGCGGCACCTCCGGCCAACGCCGCGTAGTGAGCACAAACGGCCAGCGTTCCCGTCGCGTCGAGCCTGAAGAAGTCGAGGTCAGCGACGAATGGGAGCAAACCATGTCCTGCGACCCCTCCTCGGCCGGCCAGCGCACAAACAGCACGCAGGCCAAGATGGAAATGGAGATCAGCACGGACGTCGCTGGAATCACGATCGCGTCTCAGTCTTCCTCGTCCGAGGGCGAGCTGAAACTGTCCCTGGGTGGAGTGGAGGTTGCCAAGGAACAGGTTGAGCAGTTGCAACAGCCCACAGGACAGGGGGGCACGACCACCGGGTGCGAGGTGACGTTCAAATGGAGCCGGGAGGCGAGTCTGGGTGACCTGAGCCAGAAGCTCGAGATCAGCTGGACGTGGCCCATCCTCCAGAAACGCCAAGACCAAGGGGGTCAGTGGGGACAGATCGACCAGATTGTGGTGTTTGGCGACCGCGAGGCACTAAAGCAGGTCACGCTTGGGAAGAGCTACAACCCCGACAATGACGGAGGTGATGGAGGCTCGAGCTCAACGTCTTCGGGGCCTTCGTCTTCAGGGGCAGCAGCTCCCGCCGAGACCAGTGCGGCCAGTGCGTCGGCGTCTGGGAGCAACACTTCGGTGCCTCAGCAGAGCGCCGTGCCTGCGCCGGAGAGACCTTCGAGTGGCGCACTCGCAACCTGGACCACGGGCTGGGGTGTGCTGCTTGTCCTGGGCCTCGGAGCAGTGCTCGACTAGTCGGACAGCAGGAGGTAGCAAAGACGAATATGACTGTGACAATCTCGCAATCGACGATTTGCAGAGGAAAACATCAGGCATGATGATATGTGGTAAACTCTCGACGTTAATGTGATGAACGAAGTGTTTGTACCGGAACCCGAGCACTAAGCGGTTAAAGTGACAAAAACGGAGGGTTCAATGCTCACGAGCCGGCAGGCTTGCTCGTAACCAAAACCAACCGCAGTGATGCTTCCTGAAAGGCCAGTCAACCCTAGTGGGCAGAACAGTCCTGACGAAGCTTTGACGGAGGCATATGCACTGACCCCATCATCGGCAGCCCATTGCTGTGTGTGCGGCAGGAAGATGGATGGGAACAACCTCGCATGGCAGGGCGACCCATCCGTCGCGAAGAAGTCTCGCTGAGTGACACGCCATGGCGGCATGATAGCCACGCGCCACATTACACCGGCTGTCAGAAGCAACCGTAGTTAAGTTAAAAGCACCAGTTATTAACTGGTTCGAGGGCGGCGGGCTCGAGCCTCATCCCACAGCTCCCCTTCGCCTCTGTGCACCGTGTTTGGGTCCAAGCTACTTGACCCAGCGTTGAGTGCAGGTGCGTTGCGAGGTGGGGATGGAGCAGTAGGGACGGCCGGTGCCAACCTGCAACCGGAAGTTATATAAAACCGTCCACTGTCCACACCCACCTGTCGAAAGCTGGCCGCAGTCACCTGCACTAGAGCGATCATGTCGGCTCAAGCATACTACCCAACCCCGTAAGTCAGGCCACTAGCAGTCTTACTGACGTCTAGCTTCGACGGCAACGGCCCGATACCGGCCGTTGCCAACCGCTCCTCACTCGACAGTGGTTCGCCAAACCCTCCTCAGGCCCCTTCCGGAACTCAACGCTCGCACCAGAAGCTTCAAGGCTCGATCGACCTCAATGACAAAGATGATGTGTACGTCGCTCGGAGGAGTGTAGTGGACTCACACCAGGTCGAAGCCCTTGCTCTCAGACAACTTCAGCCTTGACACTAAGTCGCAAGCCGCCACGGCCGTCTGCGAACAGCGCAACAGTCATTGGGGGCGCTTAAGGGAGGCTTTTTTGTGCCCAATCTCAAGTGACCCGAATGAGCCGATTGTGCCTGCCGACCGCAGGCCCAACATGTGGCTCAAGATGTTTTACGGTACGCTGCACTTTTACGCTTCTACTGGTGAAGTTGGCTGACAACGGAGACTTGGCCGTGGCGTCGACTTTCTCCGTATTCACAAAAGCCTTGACCATGTGGGAGTTCATGCAGATTGCCCACCTGGTTGCGTAGGTCACGTTTGTGTTGAACCTGCTGACGATAGTTACATGCTACTCATCCAGTGCATGTGGGTGACTACTGTCAGGTACGAGGGCCGCTACGAGTCCCATGATGTCTTTCACCTCGTGATGAAAGGGGTGCATGTCTTACTCCTTGTCGGCGTTGGGGCATGCAGTAACCAATTCACCATCGAGGGTTCGTTCTGGAAGGATGTACAGCCACAATGGAGCAAGGACACGCCACTGGACCTCAAACTTGAGGAGCCACGCAGTAAGTCCATTAGCGCGTCATCTGTACTGACGACAGACTATAGCCATTGGGCATTCAGACAGATTGTGTTCTTATTTTGCAGTTACCAGGCTGTGATTGCCCTGCAGTATTTCATTCGTGAGCCAAGTAGCGCGGGCGACCATCGCTGAAACTGCAGTCATCATCCGAGTGAATCGGGCTCGCCCGCCGTGGAAATACAGAATGCTGTGGCGTCCTATTCTGATAATGCTCACTGCGGGAGCCTGTGCACTTTCGCTTGTGTTTGTGCCGCCAGAGCGCGAGTTCATTGCGATTAGGACACTTTGTATCTTCGGAGCCATCTGCTTCCAGGTCGTTCAAGCGTCCTCCGATGACGAAGGTGATGGAAGGCTGGCAGAGTACATTGAGGAACGCTACTCAACGTTAACTCTCATGCTCATGTAAGCAAGAGGACACTTCTTCATCGAATACCCGCCGATCGTCGCTGACTTTTCAAGCGGAGAGGGCTTCAACCGCTGGGTAGGATTCTTCCAGCAATCACTCGCCTTCTGGGGACTCCCAACACCACTCATTGCACTTCAGATTTTCGGAAGTGAGATCCCAGAAGGAGCACGCTGACAAAAGCGGTGGGGATTGTGTACTGTCTGTGGGGTTTGCTCTTCTCCGGTCACTGCCATGCCGATAAGAGTGGTGTACCTCGAAATATCTGGACGGATTCCTTATGGGAACTCGTCCATTTTCCTCTCCAAATTGGCATCGCCCTACTGCTTGCAACCCTCGGTGTGCGTACCAGTGGTGGCGTTCAGAATCACTGATGAAGCACAGAACACCAGCGCACTCAGCTCCGCTGTAAGAAGGAGTGAAGATGGGTTGCGGGCATACAGAGACTGGGCCAAGGCCGCTGCGAGCCTGTATTCCCCCGACCCCTCCAGCCCTGGCACACTACGCAGTAAAGAATCTTTCGAGGCCGCCCGGGAAGTGGTGAATTACTACGCTAAAGTTGCCGGAGAGAAATTGCGACCTTTGCAACTTACGCCGTCGTGGGATATACACAGCCGAACCGTGTACCAATGGTTCAGTAATCGGAATTACACTAGATGCTTCAAAGCAGCGCACACCGTGTACTTGGGCCAGATTCCGTATAAAGCCTTCTCCGTGAGCTCCAGATATGGCATAGCTGACCGCATGATTTCCGGAATCACGCCAATTGAACTCGCGGAAAGATTGTACTTCGAAGACTACCGCTCCGACATCAGTCATAATTGCGTAGGCGCCGCCCCGACAGCAAAGGTGGCAACAAGCCCAGTAGCAGTGCTCGCTGAAGTCAACGTCGCTGGCGTGCAGTTTTTCCTGCAGGCTCTTCATGCGGGATCCTACAGGGGTATGGCGCTGTTGTATCCGCTGGCAGGATCAGTGCTCTGTCTCTGCGCGTTGCGATCGTTGTTCCGTGGGCAGCTCAACTTATGCTCTCTGTGGCCTCGCATTCCACTGCTCATCCTTGGAGTGGTGTTGATGTTTTTCTGTCGAATCGACGCGGATATTGGGGTGCCCGAGAGGTATAGCTACTGGTTCGACAAATACATTGCGAGCGAGACGGGGCGTGAATCGGACCTGGAATGGTCGGTCCTCATGCACATCGCTGCTAAGGGATGGTTCTCAGCGATCGTGCTCGCGTTCTTCGCTGTTTCCATGCTGTCCGTCGCCTTGATATCGGTAAGACTGGGCTTTGGTGGTGTGGCTGATGCCAGAAATACTTGACGTATCGCGCCTCTCGCGAACGCGGCGACAGAACAAGCAAAACGGCTTAAGCACGAGGAAGGGTTGTGGCGCCCGAGGAGGGCGAGGAGATTCGTCAACCTCGTTTTTCAGTTAATTCAGTTAGTGATGCAATGTTTGCGAGGCATATCGAAGCCGATCGACGGGTCGCCGATCACCCGCACAGCCATCGGTTACCTCGGCACCAGTCATCTGGGCAGCGCCGCTTGTCTCGGGGTACGCACATCCTTATCAACCCAGGGACTCTACTCTTCCTCGCCTGGCCTATGCAATGCATTGCATCGTAACGCGAGGACTTTGCAGTTACGGATACACGCTCGCCCTAGACCCGCATAATGAGCGCTTCTGAACGACATCACAAGGGTAAGGATAAACTGGATAAACTCGCAGATCAGGCACGGGATGCGGTGCTCAATGACGCGCGGTGGAGGCTGACAGCATCGCCCGGGCCTCCACACTCCGTGGAGCATCTTGGTCCAGGCTGCTGATCCGAACTCAATATCACCACATCCGCCATCTCCAGAGTCTGTAACGATCACTGGCAGTGGCTTGACACCCTCCTCTCAGAGCGATTCCTACACTCTCCATTCTCACCTCATCGATACATCCACCATGGGCTTCTTCGGAGGCAAGCCCACAGTGACCGAGACCGTCGAAGTCTCAGTCGACTGGTCCGCCAATGTAACAACAACAACAACGATAACCAAGACAGACCGGCACGGCAAGTCCGAATCGTCCTCCTCGTCACGAACCGAGAGGGATCCATGGGTCGGCACGGGTGCCCGAATCGTCTCCGACGGCAGCGGGCTCGAGCGTTTCGCCCTCCCAAGTGTGCTGTACGAGATCCTGCGTTCACGAATGCTCGAGGGTGTCGTCCGCGCGGCTATTGGACCCTACACCGAAGACGGGATTACGGTCCAGGTCTCGCCCGACGTCAAGGTGCAATTCAGCGGTCCGAGGGGACGCATCATTCTCCCCGGCGTGCTCATCGGAGTTGTAGGGTGGATGCGTGCCATGACGTGGGGATACGCGCAGGCCGTCCCCATGGGCGGACGACAGATGCCCCGCGCCGACGCGGCGTATACGCGCGCCATCCAGCAGAAGGGCGAGCAGATGGACATCGCCGACCTGGCTGCTGGAAGTCTGCTGCTCGTGACGCCCGGACCCGACCTGGACGAATTCCCCTGGTCCGTCGCGGCCGCCGGAATGCGGTGTCTCAACATCCCCGGCGCATGTCTCGTGAAGGACGTCCGTGGAGGTCCCGTCGAGGGCCAGGTCGTGTGCATGCTCGACCCCGTGCAGGCTGGGCTGCGCATCCCGGCTCCAACACTCGCCCACTTCGACATGCACTTTGACGAGATCTTCTCCCCCTTTGGAGAGAGCGACTTCCGCACCCTCGAGCCGTTCGCGCAGCGCATGGGATGCGTGTTCACCCACATCCAACCCCGAGTACCCGGCGGCCACGCTTGGACGCTTACCGACAATGAGGGCCTCAAATTCACGTACGAGGCTAGCCCGGATTGGAGCAGGTTCAGCCACACGCTCACGCGAGGCGCGCAACCTGTCGGTCCCCCGCCTGCATATGGCGACGAGAAGGGTGGTGGGGCCGGACCTTCGGGCCCGCCGCAGTACCACCAGGGCGACTACAAGGGTCCGTCAGGTGACTACAAGGGCTCGTCGAACTACTACGCCTCGGAGAAGAAGATGTAGACTGTACTCGTGGAGGATCAGAAACGTTGTACAACTTAGATGGAACCGCTGCGCTCATCGTGCTTGTGCATAAGAAGGTCTATGAACAGTTCCTAACGTAGCACTTTACTGGCCATCGCTGCCGAAGGTGAATTCGCTGCTCGCCCAGGCGACAAACTCACCCCCTGCGCCTTGCTCGCCACCCGCAGCATGGCCGCCGCCCGCAGCGTCACCAACGGTCGCTGGGCCACTTGTACCGGCTCCGCTCGCAGTGGGGGAGCTACCAGCCTGAGAGACCATCGCACCAGCTACACCGGAAGCAGCCAGGTCACCACTGCCAACGCTGCCGCCGTCCCCATTGCCACCAACGGCATTGCTGCCGTCAGCCCCACCACTTCCGACCGTGCCATTGCCGGAGGCCTTTGTGTTCCCGGCCGCGCTGTCGATGCCCACAGCAGCGTTGCCGCCGGTCATCGAGCCGGCACTGGACGTACTGTTCCCAGCCGTTGCGCCGGACATTGCTCCGTTATTGTTGCCGCTGGACATCACGTTGCTGTCGGCCGTGCCGTTCCCAGCAGCTGCTGCACCTCCTGCACTGCCGGCCGGTCCGGTGATCGGACCAAGGCTGTCGATGTGCCCCAGCATCCAGAGGAGTTGCATGAAGGCCACCCGGGGCTGGAAGGCGGGGAGCATGTGACCAGCGCCCCAGACCTGGTTCCACATGAGCCCGCGCTCGTAGTGCTGGATGCCCATCTGGCCCTGCGCCATGATGAACTGGTCGATACCGAGACCGGAGGCCGCGAATGCCTCGCGGTGCTGAATGTCGCGCAGGGGGATGAAGAGCGGCTCGCTGGGCTGAGTCTGGAAACCGAGCGCTCCGCCCCACGTCATGTTCTGAATCGAGAGGAGGGTGCCGTTCGTCATGATGACAAAGTCAAAGTCGCCGTTCGCCACGAGGACACGCTGCGTCGCTTCGATCACGCGGGGGAGGGCGCCTTGGATCGGGTCCTCGGACAGATCGCCGTTCTGTCCCGGTCCTGCCTTGCCGTTGCCTGCCGTGAAGACAGGCTTCTTGGTGCACTGCTGCCATGTCAGGTCGGCAGGCACGTGCAGCGCCTTCTTCACGTCGGGGCGGTCGAAGTACACCGTCGTGCCGGGGGGAACGAGGTTGGTAATGCCCGACATGCCGAGGACGTCCCAGAGGATGGGGCAAGGCTTGTTGGACTCGTAAGGGTCGAAGCAGGGGTTGATGTTCAGTACGCCGATGAGTGCGCTGTTCCACAGATCGCACTTGGACGTCTCCGGGTCAGTCCTGTTCCAGAAGCGCGGCGGCTGCACGCCAGAGGCAGGGAAGGTCATGTACTTGTTGATGTACTCTTCGTACCCACACTGCTGGTGGAGCTGCTTGAAGGTCGCCATGTCGCTCGAGTTGAACCCGAAGTGACTCCAGTTCTCCTCAGCATAGGGGTACGCGACGAGCTGTTGCTGCGTGAAGAGGTGATTGCCGATGACACCGTCGTAGATGATCGCACCGGAGATGTTGAAGTGCTGCGTGTCGTTCGCGTTCAGCATCACATCGGCGATGTAGGGGATGTAGCGACCCGCATAGCTCTCGCCCGTCATGTAGATGCGGAAGTTGGAGATGCCGAATAGAGCCTGGAACTTCTTCAGGAAGGCGAGGAACTGCGCGGCCGACTCAGGCTGTGAAGTCGCCGATGGTGTTCCGCGCGAGTAGCCAGTGCCGATGGGCTGGTCCACGAAGAGCATGTTGGTTATATTCGTCCACGCGTACTTGTTGCGCTCGGGAGAGTGAGTGCCTGCCAGCCACGAGATCGGGCCGACCTCCTGCAGGAACCCCTCCATCGATGAACAGCCCGGGCCACCGTTCAGCCAGATCGTCAGCTCGTCGACCGGCTCACCGCCTTCTTTTGGCATGAAGATGAAGAACATCTCATCGGCCTGGGCGGTGGCATTGCTGCCAGTTCCGGAGGCATTAGCGTTCACAGTAGTTGAGTCAAGCTGAATGGTGCCGGCGTACATCTCGCCGAACTGGAAGTTGACGTCGGGCATCGACGAGACATAGAAGGCTACCGTCAGCGTATGATCAGGCGGGAGGGAGCTTACATTCAGTGTTCGCGGTGCGGAAGCGGGTTGAGCTGTTGCTAGCGGTCGGAGGAGGCGTCTGAGTAACATTGGTCCCCGCAGTGCTAAGGGGATCATATCGAGCTTGCAGAACCGGATGATCGATAGGGTTGAGCCTGGCCAGCGCCGAGCTTCCCAAGGCCGCGGCGGTTAGAGCCGCTACGACGGAGATCTGCATGGGTTCTGGGTCGGTGGCTAGTGGGGGAATCAAGTGAGAGCCAAGTCGAGAATGGCAAGGAGCAAGTTGTGAATGGGAGGGCGGGGAAGAACGTTAACGGGAAAGTTGTGGATGATGCGGCTTAAGAGTGACTGTTGCAGCAGGTGGGCCGGCGCTGCACGCCGCGTCGGCGCTGTTGCTTCTGCTGTGCGACACCCGCTGAGCATGTTCAGTCTCGGACTGCGCACCGCGAGGCCGTCTCCGGGCGCCGCGCCTCATCGATGCGTCGGCCGCAGTTCGGATCCGCCAGGCGAAGCATGCGGGGCACGTTGCGGGGAACATAGTGTAGCGGGCCAGGAGCCTAAGGGAATGGGGCGATGCATAAACAATACGGGCTACGGGATGTGAGAAGGCTGGCGTGGGCACGTGACCGCGGTGGAGGGGCGGAGGCAAAGCCACGTGTGCAGGGCCACCAGGGCCTGTGCGCCTACACATAGCGGAGGGCGAGCAGGCGCAGTCGTGCAAGTGCTCGGCGCCAAGATCCCATCTAAAAGCCAAGTTGTCAGGAAGACTGTTCATAGCATTGAGACGAGCAGAGGCGCAGATGAAACTGGCAGCTGATAAGATTCGCTCAGCCGTTTCATCGCGTGTGGTGGCCGGTCGTGGCCAGCCAACGTGCCTTATCGCTGACGGCATCTTGCTGCGTATCGCTCTCATCCTCCACACTGAACACTGCGATAGAGTTCCGTCGTAGCGCTGTGCGGGATGCACTCGTCACACATGTTGCACACGTGGTTCCGGTGTTGTGGACCGCAAGACATTGCACATCTTCCACTCACGATCAAGCTTATCACGCACTAGCTGGCGTCGTCATGGCCCGGCGAACTGTGAACGCCACTCAAACCTTGCAGGACTTAGTGCATCGGCCTGCTATCGCGCACCTCCTTCACCTTGGGCAGAGTGGTGCAGTCACGATCTCACATTGCCGTGTTGGTTGCTCAGGCAATGTCTGGAAACGTAGATGGCGTACTCCTCCCAACGGAGTGGAGGCGCTTCCAGATTGGAGTCGATCGAGATCCATGCTGAACGCACCTCAGAAGCACGAAATCCACCATGCCTTGAATTCATCTGGGCGCTCCATCGTTGAGATGGCTCGGAATGGAGGCATAATAGCGATTAGTGCCCATCAGGGGCACTATGGGGCGGTCAAACGCTGAGACCTAGCGGCTCAGCGGACGTTATACTTCTCGTACTTCTCCCTGCCGATAGCCCTCCATTCCTTGAACTCCTCGAGGGTCATGAGGTTCAGCTCAGCCGGGGGGTTGTCCGGGTCAACATCGTCGTACGGACTAGTGCCGGTTGCTTTGCGATAGCAGTCGAGCAGCTCTTTGCCGAGGTTGTTTCGATACCTTTGCAGCGCATCCTCGTCGAGGAAGGCATCAAGGCCGACGACACAAAGCATGTCACGCAGGCCATACAGCATCTGCACATAGTTGAACAGCAAGCCATGGTCGACGGTCCCTCCTTGTTCAATGCGGTCTCCACGGCTACGCTTGTCGTTCAGAATCACTGTGACTGTCGAGAGATTCTGTTGCATCTCTCCGTCGTCGGTCACCATGGGCGGAGCCACGTCGAAAGCGGGTCCTTTGTTAAGGATAGGAGTGGTGGGATCGGTGTAGCAATCGATGCTGACAATGAGATTCCGTGGCTGTCGCTCGTTCGGAACATGAATGGTAGGAAGCGGTAGCCCTGGGCGGAGGTCAAGGAAGTACACTGGTGTATCAGGACCAAGAGGCGTATACGCTATCGCCTCTTGACAACTCGGATACGTGTTGTACCAGCGGACGACAGGCTTGGCGGATGGTTCCCAGTCACCGCCGGCGCCAACATCGGACTCGGCCCCAAAGAGCTCCGGGAGATACGACGGTCGAAAGTCCGGAAACCCGATGAGGTCAACTACCTCCACCTGGCCTGCGGCGAAGAGCGAATGCCATGGCTCGTTCAGAGGCTGCAGCTTTCTGATACCAGAAGCAGTGCCATCAGTGAAATAGAGCACTGAGATCAAAGCGCGCATTCCTGGGGTGTCGTGTGTATCGCGCACGCTGAGACCCACTCGATCGGGCTGCCCGAGGCTCGCGCCATGGCGGAAATCTAGCGATAGATGTCGGACAAGTTTGGCGAGAATAGCGTCCGCCCGTGAACGCCACGATTGGCAGACACGGCGGGCAATGGAAAGATCACGGAGGCTGAAGCTTGCCCATATCGAGTCAATGATGTGGGGGTAAGAGAGATGGTCGATGTGCACCATGCAAGAAGGAGTGCAGAGCAACCCAACACAGAGAGGGACGGAGGTTGACATCCGTGCTAGGGGCGTTCTGTGCGGGGCTCCGATGAGTCAATGAATTTGCTTCCGCAAAATCACGCGCCGTCGCGAAAGTGGAGGTCAAACCGAACCGATTTGGAGAACGAGAAGGGGGAGTCAATAATTCGAACGAAACGGTTGGAATCGGTTTCGACTCCACCACTCCATCGACCCATCGGCGATACGACATCATGCCGACAATCGACGCCCAGTTCCATCCCCACATCGTCGATATGATCTGGGACCATATGACAGAGGACAGTGCAATCGTAGCGGGCAACGTATGCCGGTCGTGGCGCGATCGAGCAATCCCCTTGCTGATGAAGCACATCGCTTTGCATAGACGGGATGACAACGAGGACGCCGACCCCGTGCTCGAGGATATGCCCATCGGAGCACCTCTGCCGTATCGGCGGATCACAGGTCGTGTTCTCATTAAATCATACACAATCGGTTCGAAGCGGACGATGCTACTGAAGTCCTTGAGATACCGTCGGCGCGAGATCTACAACTTCGACGCCGATGAGTGGTTCTACGAGAAGGAGGAAATCGACGAGGACCTTGGTATGGACTTGCAAAAGCTCTTGGCTAAGGCGGAAGTGGTGGAAGCTGTCAACTGGAACCTTCACGAATGCCAACTAGGCGAACTCACGGATCTGCTGTTCAGATCAACGAGGCAAGTGCAATTCGAAGCTCGCACCTACGATATGTGGTCGCCTATCCGGCCAGCAGACCCACTTCGCACGGAGACAGCTTCCATCCGACCTCCTCTAGTCCGCTGGCGCGTACAGGATTACACCATGCCCCACTGGGATTTAGGGCCAAGTGAGGTCTTGTTCTTCCTCGACTACAGCCATGCACAGAACATCGCAGAGGTGTTCATCGGGGACTTCGACAAGGTGTATGGACGCAAGCCCCACGCTTGCCGCCATCTGACCCTCTCGATCGACTGCTATTGTGACCCCGTCCTCGGTATGTGGGACATCACCCGGTCGATGGGTCCCGGCGACGTCCGCGGGCGACAGGACGACTGCACAATTCTGCTGTTCAACAGAACAGGCAAAAAGCGCGGCGAGGGCTTTGACGATGTCGGGCATACTCGGGGCTTGCTTGTCAACTACTTCGAGACATTCCCTAATGGAGTGTTCTCGGATGTGACTGTCGTTGGCCTAGAGGAGTTCTTCGAAGAGCAGGAGCCGCTTGAGCAGTATCAGGACTTCTTAAGGAAGCAGTTCAAGAAGACGGCGAAGGAGCATGGTCTGCACCTCCGCCCCTCTGCCTCGGGTGCGGTGCTCGTCTTCAGAACCCACGCCAAGCACAAGGCCATAATGGACGACTATTACGGGCCCGGGGGCTACGAAAGGCGTGCATTGAGGTAGGCGAGCAGACTGTATCATGCTTGAGCGACCTCGAATAGCTCCCGTGAAGCGAATCGCGCGATGAGTTGAATCGCAATTCGCGAAAGTGGAGGTTTTCTGCGACCCAAAGCAACCCGCGTTCACACCAACGGTCTTCTCAACATCGAATTCGCAATGCTCGACGCCAAACTCTACCCCGAAGTTATCGACGCTGTATGGCTGTTCATGTCCGAGGATGCTGCGATCGTCGCCGGCAACGTGTGCAGGAACTGGCGCGACCGCGCAACCGAAGTCCTCATTGGCCATATCTCCCTGCATCTGCGCGAGGACACCATTCGAGAGGATGAGGTACCCCAGGAGACCTACGAAGGGATGGACCCCTCATACAGAAACATCGACGGACGTGTTCTCATCAAGTCATATCAGGTCGGCTCGAAGAAGACACTTCTTCTGCGATCCCTACCGTACCGACGACAAGAGATCTTCGACTGGGACCGTGACGATTGGAAATACGAAAAGGAGTGGGTCGAGGAGGAGCTCGGCGAGAAATGGACGAGGTTGCTGGCTCGCACCCGTGTTGTCGACGTCATCAACTGGGGTGTCAACGAGTGTAGGCTAGGCGAGTTGACGGAATGCCTCTTCTGGGCAACGAACCAAGTTCGCTATAACGACGACTCCTGGCCCGACTATGGACCTTTTCGCGAACTGTACGACGGCGTGGATGACGACGACGACCTCAGCGAAGAGCCTGTGCCGCCACTTGTGCGCTGGCACAATGTCGGACCCCGCATGCCACACTGGGACCTGGGCCCCCAACACCTTCTCCTCTTTCTCAGGTACTCGCACTCCAAGATAACCCCGGAAGTCGAGTCGGTACACGAAAAGTACACGATGGGCCGAGAACCGCAGTCGTGCCAGAACTTGACGCTTTCCATCGACTGCTATGGCGACCCCATCCAACAGACGTATGGCAGCTGGCCAGCGCTCGGCCAAGACTTTCACGAATGGGGCCAAGAGGTCTTTACGGTTCTGCTGTTCAACAAAACCAAACGGAGGCGGTGGATGTCCTTCAGCGACGTCGGGAATGGGCGGGGCTTACTCGTTAACTTCCTCGAAACGTTTCCAAGTGTTACCTTTTCGGACATCATCATCGTCGGACTTGAGGAGTTTATCGACGACAAACCGTCCTTAGAGACATACAAGCGTTTCCTCACGCAGAAGTTCAAGAAGAAAGCCAAGGCGTCCGGGCTCCGCCTACACCCGTCCCAGTTCGGAGCGAGAATTCTGTTTAGGACCCACAGGGGCCACAAGATCATCATGAACCGGGGATACGGCAAGAGTGGTTATGCCACGCATGCGTTGAAGTGATGTGCAATCTGGGCGCGCCATCCATCAGCATTGCAAGAACCTGAAGGTTGATGTTTCCGCCACGCATGGCGAGAACGGCGAATGGGGATTTCAACAGCTGTCTGGCCCCGGTCTCTGGCCCCGGTCTCGACCCCATGACAACCTTTCTTCTCGCAGCCCTTTCTTCAGCACGCCGATCGTGGCGGGGACGAGGGCTGTGGCGCAGCACATGGCCACGATGATCTCCATCAGGACCGGAGAAGTACAGCTTCGCCCGGACAACCTTCCTTACACCGCCCGCCGATGTCAGACTCTTTTCTGGTTCGTTTCGAGATTGTCTGATACTCCGGGACGCAAGTCCAGGCAGGCCCTCGTTTCACCAACCCTCCCCACCCACCCACTCCA